CCTGATATGAGTTGGAAACTGAGTGTACAAAAGGGCAACCCAGTTAACATAAAAATGAAAATAAAACGGAACAGACACTCATAAAAAAACGAATCAGTATGACAGTGACTTGTGTAGTTTTATTTAATTGTAGAGCTATAAATAACCGCATCATTAGCTCATAATTATTTAAATGACTGGGTAGGACTTTGCTCATTATGCTTCAAAGAGATCAATTACCATGCAATAATTGTGATTTACTTACACAAGACTGGCTCTTATGTTGCAAGAGGCTTCTGATGCCTGTTTAAAAATCAGCCTACATAATGTGATCTTTTTTTTTCCCTTAGTGTCCCTGACCCCTGAAGGATCACATCCTGTGTTTGAATTTGATCTGCTTTTTCACTTTTGAAAAAATGCTCAACTATGCCTCTTTAACATATTGTTCATTCCACTTTTTATCGGTGCCTTAGAAATCAGGCTGCTTATGGTCATAAACTCAACTTAATCACTTCCCTTTCATGAACTGCTTTATCTAACAGTAACTGCTACGAGGAATTTCTGAGATATGTTTCTGAATCTGAAGTGTCCAATCTTAGAAGCAGACATTAGCTAGATTTGATTTATTTTTATTTTTTTACAGACCATCCACAAATAATCAAAGGTTTCTGAAAACAATGTTGTACATTACTGTTGCAAAAAAAAAAATATCTCTTCTGTGTAACCAACCTGCTGAGTAGCTCATTCAAATATCCCTACAAAAATAAAAATCCAATTAGATGTTTGCTTTTCTATTTTTTACAAATGTCTGTCCTTTATGTCACGTTTTTTTGCTAGACAAACCAATAAATAGTCCGCTATACATTACTAAGATAGCCTAGTCCAAAAGAAAATTGTTTTGAGCTCCTTTTCTTGTTTTTTTGTGTGACCCAGGTGACGATATACCTACATTTTGGGTTTGCTTAAAGCGAAAAAACATAACTTCTAAATGCAGGACAGTATCTCTTGAGGACGGACTTTGGGCACCCTTGCTGTACATTTTCACATCTTGTTAATCCAACTTCCCAAACTACGTGATCATAGCATCAGATATCAAGGATGTTTAACAGTGTCAGCAAGGATATGCTCCAGCCCCTCTACGATCCCACTAAGAATTAGCAGTATGGGCAATGGATGGATGGAAGACAAGAAGCTAACAGTTAGTTAGCTTATAGTCTTCAAAAACTGCATTGTATATTCAGAAGGTTGGAAAAATAAGGTAGTGAAGAAGCTGTGCTACCTTATTTTTACCTTATTATCTTCTGACATACAATGCAGTTTTTTATGACCCACCACAAAAATAATACTTTTTAAAAATACCCAAGGAAAATCCATGGTGGGAAAAAATGTTAAAAAAAAAGGATGACAGAATATTGTATTTATTTTTTCAACCTATTAGGAGTGAAATTGTTTATATTTCTACATAGCAAGTTTTAAAATAATTAAATAATTTCCCTCCCGGATTATTAAAGTATTTATGATTCTGATTTATGGGATTCCTTTGAGAAATATTTGGCTTCTGTCATTCTTTTTTTGTGTCCAAGAAACCATCCACTTTCCTCCTAACATTTCTAATAACGGTAGCAGGTTCCAAGGTAATAAGTATCAATTTACGTTAGCCATGTTTCCTCAATGTATGTTTATCTATATATATCAACATATGTCAAATTATTTGTAAAAAAAAAAAAAAAATAATTAGTAGCAACTTGTGTTGTGTGAGCAAAAGACTGAGCCATCTTTTTCTCCAAATTTCAGTTTACTGAACCCTACTGATCTGAGTGTAGGTGCAAAACAGTAACAAATATTTTAAATACCGCTCTAGTAATACAGCCTTCTGTCCATCTTGGAAAATGTTCTCTTAGCTTTGGCAAACAGGCTTTTACAAACAAATACTGTAGTTACAAGTTTATCACAACTGAACAACATTCCTCATTGCTGAGGCTGATGCTAAAAAAAGGAGAAAGGCCTTCTGCCAATTTAAAAAGAAATGTAGTTAATTTGTACCTGTCCTTGGTTCCACAGTTCGGTTGCCATTTTGGTCCATGAAGACAAATCTTCCTCCAGTGAAGTCAGAGCCATAATCAGACAGGTACAGGAGTGACGTGTAGTCAAAGGAGCCATATGTCACCTGGTCCACCATGAGAGAAAAACAACATGAGTGATGATCTTAACTTAAACAGCATACTGGTTAAATAATAGAATCCTTGATATAATGTAGCGGTTGTATTTGCAGTATCTCTGGCTGTTTTCCCATACATAATGCTATGATTTGTGGACAGCCAGTTTTGAGCATCCATTGGTCACTTTTAGGGTTGTCAAAAGTATCGATACTTAAAAAAGTATCGATACTAAAATGTTGTATCCGGATACGATACTCATTTTCAAAAGTATCGATACCACCGCGCGAGCCCGTGCGAGTCCGCGCGAGCCCGCACAAGCGCGCGCACGACGCTGACCTGCCGTCGCTGCGCCCCTTCTCTCTGCTTTATTTATGTATTTATTTACGTTGTTTATGATCATTAACGTGACGTTAGCCTTGAACTGCTAGCTGCGGCTAATGGCTAACAATAACATGCTACCATTAATCAAGTACATATCCGTCTCAGCCCACATCCAAATCGGCCTTTTTGATTACGTCACCAAAAGGAAAATCCCAGGCAAGAAAATAGTAATGCCTCATGGCAATATAGACATTAATTTAAAAATAGTGAAATTAATCTTTCAAACACTTAATTAAACTCTATCCATAATATTATGTTAAAATAGTGGATGTTAAATAAGTTTGTACAATAAGTCCAAACAAGTTTAACCCAAAAATTGTTTCTCACAATTATGAAGGGTGGAGGGTTAGGGTTAGGGTTAGGGTTAGGGTTAGGGTAAGGATTAGGGTTAGGGTAATTCATTCGGGCCACCAGCCACGATAACATCAGTAACAGGCCAGTTTGAAATGAAAGACACTTAACTGTCAAAATTCAGTTAAATTTTGGGGTCTTTGTTTTTATCCTTGTGGTATCGAAAATGGTATCGAGTATCGAGTATTTTCCTGAGTATCGGTATCGAGTTGAAAATTTTAGTATCGTGACAACCCTAGTCACTTTGGCAATTTCTCACATCCTTCCAGTAATCAAGGCAAGCCAAGACAATTTTGTTTTGTGTAGCACAATTTACACACAAGGTGCTTCGCCTCATAAAATCAGAAAAGGTCAAAATAAAAACATAAAAAAACTCCTAACTGCATCAGACAAACGACTTGTCTATGTATTGGTTTTATTAGATATTAGTGCTGCATTTAATACCATTGACCATCAGATCCTATTACAGACACTGGAAAATTTCACTGGCATTAAAGGAGCCGCTCTAAGCTGGTTTAGGTCCTATTTATCAGATCAGTTTTAGTTTGTACATGTACAATGAGTCCTCCATGCATGCCAAAGTTAGTCATGGAGTTCCACAAGGATCTGTGCTCGGACCAATCCTCTTTACTTCATATATGCTCCTTTTAGGTGGTAATATCAGTCCTTTAACTCTCACATTAAGCAAATTTCAAGAACCACCTTCTTTCACCTAAGTAGTATTGCAAAAATCACGAGTGTAAAAATTGTGTAAAAAAATGCATTGGCTTCCTGTAAAATCCAGAGTAAGATTTAAAATCCTTCTTATTACATACAAAGCTCTTCATTGTAGGCACCATCTTATCTTAAAGAGCTCATAGTACCTTACTTCCCCACCAGAGCACTGCACTCCCAGAAAACAGGGTTACCTGTGGTTCCTAGAGTCTTCAAAAGTAGAATGGGAGCCAGAGCGTTATGCTATCAGAGTCCTCTCCTGTGGAACCAGGTTCCAGTTTGGGTTCGGGAGGCAGACACCGTCTCTACATTAAGAGTAGGTTTAAGACTTTCCTTTATGATAGAGCTTATAGTTAGGGCTGGCTTAGGTGAGTTCACCCTTAGTTATGCTGCTATAGGCCTAGACTGCCGGGGGATTTTCCCATGATTTTAGCAGTGTGTTTTTTCCAATGGTAAAAGGCTGACGATGTTATTGATTTAATGTGGTCACATATAACCTAAAAACAGTTGTTGACTGCATCAGTCCTATAAGGATAAATGACCCACAGGCAAGTTTTCAACTGTTTGCACAATTCTTTCCTGGCAGGTCATCAGCATCGGGATTCCTCCTTATCCATCAACAACTTCATTTGAGCAACTGGTGGCACTTGATTATGAATTAACCTAGGACTAAAAACACCATGACAAAGTCAGTTTTCAAAGAATGCTTCTCCTTTATGAAATCCTAACATTCGGTTGGTGGTCCAACCTTCAAGAGAGATGCAAAGCGAACGTTAGTTTTGCATTTGGTGTGAATACACCATGAGAAAGAATGTTTAAGGTTTAAGGCCGTTCTGATTATCATTGCGTTTGATACTTGGTTGTGGTGCTCATCATTCTCTGATTTGATGAGAAAATGCTCTGTTGTGTTACTAAGTAAAGCTGTCTCTTCAGGTTTCCTGTCCAGTACAGGTGCCTGAATAATACAGTGATTTAAAAGATGTCGATACACCTATTTAACCATGGCTCCTGTAGACTGTGTTGACTGTATTGATTAAGAATAATTTGCCATCTATTTGCTTCTGCAAATCTTACGTCAACCTAAGATTTCAAAAGTTGTATCTGTATCATAAAATAAAATAGATTCTTGAACAGTTCTAAAGTCACTGTAACTTAGGGACCATACCCATGTGGAGGCCGCAGCAGCTCAGAGCATAGGGGTACATGTGTGGAACTAAGCATCAGAAATATAACAAACTGCAGCCATTAACACGCAGCTTTCATTTACAGTGATGTAATCCAAATGCATTTTTGTGGCCACAGTTTAGCAATACTTGTTAAAAGAGTAATGCTTTGTCTTTGGCTCTCCCCAGAGGGTAGGCAATGCCGACTCCTCATTCCATAGGTCTTCAGCATGTGGGATAAATGAAAATACATATTTTTCTGTTAATCAGGGGAATAAATAAAAAAGCTGCATGTAGCACTAATAATGCCACAGGAGACAGGATTCTACAGCTATGAAACCAAAGAGCCTTATGATGCAGAATATTTTCCTCCAGTAAGCCCTGGTCAGTTTGTGCTGTACAACTTCCAACGGTAACGCAAAATAAATATTCGGGTGCATGAATGCCAAGTGCAAAGAAAAAAAAAGGAAGCAGCCTTAATGACGGATCAAAGAGTGCCCTTGACCATCAAAGACTTGACCATCAAAGGACATTGAAGTGTCCCACTTGAAAAATCTTACATGATTGATAGGACAAACAACAAAGTGGCTTCCTGAGAATTTCAGAAAACAACTTCTAATGGAGGAATTTCACAGAGCCCTATTAATAAGCCAACCCCCCATTTGACTTAATTTCGACCTCCAGTTTGTCAAACAATGCTGCGAGATTTTCTTTTTTAATCTTTTAAAGATATCTTGGTGAATGAAATGTCACCTGCGTGTCATTAAAACAGTAATGAGAAATTCATAAAACAATCCATGAAATATAGTGTAACGTGACGCCCTTAACCTTCTCCTTGTAGGGTATGTGTGTTTAGGTTGAAGGTTCCTCAGAAAACCTGACTGTGGTCTCCAACCCAGAGCTATTAAAGATCCACCTTGGCAGGTGGGACTCCTACTTTAGTTAGTTATATTTCTAGCAAGTTTTTGAGATATTTTTCAGTAACCCTCACATCTCTTACCATACTTCCAATACCCTCATTACAACAGTCTTACACAAGTATCACTTGAAACATTACTGAGCAAAAACAAGCGAAGAAACCTCATTTAGTCTAAAACTTCAAGGCTCGGAGAGATACAGGGTGGACTATCATAGAAAGGGAATGTGTACCAAATAGATTGTTTTTGTAACGTATGCTCACACTGCTATCCACACTGCTATGGAGGCCAAATAGAAGGCTCTGTAAATGGTACAGTGTTGTTTCAGTGCTCATAATTGCAGAAAAATGGCATTTAATATACCATGTTTGTGTTTTCAAACCAGAGGATGGAAAAGCAGCCTGCATCATATTTTAAAAACGGTTTGACCTGACGAAGATGTTACAAAACACATGCATAAATCTGCTTATCTGTAGAAAGACTTGTGAACTTTAATTCTAATAATCTATAAACCAGATTCAACTAATTAGTTGGTTTATTAAAGGAGTCTTGTAATATTGTCAAAATTAGGGACATCCTGTGTCAGAGTAATGCAGAGAAACTATTGCACCCCACAGAATTTTGATCCTCCCATATAAAGAAGCTGAAAGACCAAGTTCCATCATCGCTTAAAGATCTGAAAAATTAGATCATTTCAGTTTGAAATGCTGCCAGTAGGTTTTAAGGTACCAGACACCCTCTTTGTCTTTAACAGTAGGCTTAAAACTTTCTTTATTGAAAAAGCTTTTTATTATGGGTGGCTCAGTTGACCCAGAATCATTCCAAAGTTACGCTTTGGGCCTAGACTGCTTCCGGAACACCCATATGCACCTCTTCTAAGGTAATTGCAGTGATTCCCAAACTGATTATATGCCAATAGCCATCCAATGACTCAGCAGGTGGGGGTAGTTTGGAAGTTCCCCATTTTGAGTTGCTGTTCTGTATCGTATATTTTCAATGCTTCTAACCAACTGTCCAGTGTTCAATCACATTTAAGTTGATCCAATAGAGTGGCTACATTCTGTTGAAATATGAATATTTTGAGGTGACACCAACAGATTTTATGCAATTGACAAAAACAGGTTGGTGCCAAATTATTGTTGACAATGACTGGAGTTGTTTAGATATTAATTTAAACAAATGGGTTTTTTCTACTATTACCTGTTCAATGCGGTTCAGCTTGACTCTACTTGTTTTTGTTTTTTGGGTATTTTGACTAGGGGAAAAATTTGTTTAGTTACAATTTTAACAGCTATTCATCCGGGATTCCAGGCTGACTCCGGCCCATGGCAGACTGCATGACACCGATTGGCCATTTAGTTGCATGACTTTCATTTCGGACTTAATGTGTAACAGAAATCCACCTTAATGGAGCCGTAGCAAGGTGAGTAGAGCTGAAGAGGACTGAACAGGTACTAATGAAAATCCCCAAAAGAAATGCATATTCTGTTTTAGTTTTTTTTAACTATGTAAATTAGGTTAATTTAAAGTCATTTCATTTGCAACCACAAGTGACCTGACGGCCTGCAATTCATTAGGTTTAATTACATTAGATGGTCCTCTCCTCCTAGAAATTAGAAAAGGCACATTTTCCGCTGTCACATTCCAATTGCTACTATGACACCACATCAGCTAAGATCGATAGGAAGAAAATTCACCACTAAAGCTGTTAAGAGGCCATTTACATGGAAATTAGCACTAGGTTAGCCAATTACATACAAAATGGTGGTCAGGACTGATAGAGCTGATTAAATTTTTTAGCCAGTGGGAGACGATGAGAAGGCAGAAAGTAATGTCTCTAAAACCAACATGAATAATCACAAAACACCAAGGGAAAGGAAAAAAAGATCAATGAAACTGAATGACAAATAGAACTGAACTACAGATAAATAAAGATCAATAGTGGGACTGATGCTTCAAGAAGTTAATGAGTGACGCAAACAATGCATGACATTTTTCCTGAACAGACATGGGATCAACAGATGCCTACTGATTATGGTCATGAAATGATAAAGACAGACTATGATTAAAGCACCAAGCTTTAAGGCTGCACATCTGAAACATCTATGAATGACATCTATCTAGCTATACGTATATATACAGGGGTTGGACAATGAAACTGAAACACCTGGTTTTGGACCACAATAGTTTATTAGTATGGTGTAGGTCCTCCTTTTGCGGCCAATACAGCGTCAATTCGTCTTGGGAATGACATACACAAGTCCTGCACAGTGGTCAGAGGGATTTTAAGCCATTCTTCTTGCAGGATAGTGGCCAGGTCACAACGTGATGCTGGTGGAGGAAAATGTTTCCTGACTCGCTCCTCCAAAACACCCCAAAGTGGCTAAATAATATTTAGATCTGGTGACTGTGCAGGCCATAGGAGATGTTCAACTTCACTTTCATGTTCATCAAACCAATCTTTCACCAGTCTTGCTGTGTGTATTGGTGCATTGTCATCCTGATACACGGCACCTCCTTCAGGATACAGTGTTTGAACCATTGGATGCACATGGTCCTTCAAAATGGTTCAGTAGTCCTTGGCAGTGACGTGCCCATCTAGCACAAGTATGGGGCCAAGGGAATGCCATGATATGGCAGGCCAAACCATCACTGATCCACCCCCATGCTTCACTCTGGGCATGCAACAGTCTGGGTGGTACGCTTTCTTTGGGGCTTCTCCACACCGTAACTCTACCGGATGTGGGGAAAACAGTAAAGGCGGACTCATCAGAGAACAATACATGTTTCACATTGTCCACATCCCAAGATTTGCGCTCCTTGCACCATTGAAACCAATGTTTGGCATTGGCACGAGTGACCAAAGGTTTGGCTATAGCAGCTCGGCCGTGTATATTGACCCTGTGGAGCTCCCGACGAAGAGTTTTGGTGGAAACAGGAGAGTTGAGGTGCACATTTAATGCTGCCGTGATTTGGGCAGCCGTGGTCTTGTGTTTTTTGGATACAATCCACATTAGCACCCGAACATCCCTTTCACACAGCTTCCTCTTGCGTCCACCGTTAATCCTGTTGGATGTGGTTCGTCCTTCTTGGTGGTATGCTGACATTACCCTGGATAGCGTGGCTCTTGATACATCACAAAGACTTGCTGTCTGGGTCACAGATGCGCCAGCAAGACGTGCACCAACAATTGGTCCTCTTTTGAACTCTGCTATGTCACCCATAATGTTGTGTGCATTGCAATATTTTGAGCAAAACTGTGCTTTTACCCTACTAATTGGACCTTCACAGTCTGCTCTTATTGGTTCAATGTGCAATTAATGAAGATTGGCCACCAGGCTGGTCAAATTTAGCCATGAAATCTCCCACACTAAAATTAGAGGTTTTTCAGTTTCATTGTCCAACCGCTGTATATTCTATATCTGCACTCATGTGTGTGTGTATATATACACATACACACATCATTTGATGAGAAAAGCTTGCATCCTGATCTTTCATTTAAGACGCTCCAAATCTGTGCTTCATTTTCCCAAGCGTAACGACTCAAGTCTGTGCGTCACCTTATCGATGTGCGGGTGCCAGTACTCGTCATGTTGCGTCTTGGCTGCGGTGCTGTTGATCCTGGAGAAAAAGGTGGGCTTGGTGAGGTACATCAATCTGGGGTCCAAACCAAACGTCTCCGCGATGATAGTCTGGATTCTCCCACGAACATCTCTAACCATGAAAAACAATACAGACAGTTGATTTATCCCTTTGACATTACTTCTGATTAATGGTCATGAACTGGTCTAAATAGATGAAAAAGAATTGGACTGCATTAGATTTGAATGGATTATTTGTAACAGCAAAGTGAATAATTGGACTGTATTGCACTTTGCCTCTAAAGAGGCATGAGATAACTTCACAAATCTGTGATATTAAAAGATTAAAATCTATTTTAACAGAGAATGTGTGTTTCTTTTTTTTAAGAGTATGTCTTTAAAAAAAACATCTGGAGTTTACTAATGAAAATCTAAAATAAAAGAATGGCTGGTTTTAAATTAAAGCATTTCGCTCACCTGTACAGCTTAAAATCCTCCGCTGTGAACACATCCCTGATCTGATCTCCAAAATACCTGTAGAAAGATAGACCAACGAACATGGGACAGTGTGAGCAGTGTGGGTGTGTGTGGGGGGGGGGGGGGGGGGGATAACCCAGCATGGCTCAACGTCTCATAACCCAGATGCCACTCAGACAGCGGAAGTGGAGGATTGAGAGAGGTGAAGGTACACCATTGTCAGAGTTATCTGATTATAATCAGCCAGATGGTTACTTAGGACACCCTGTCAACCACCTGCCCCGCAGGAGGAAAGACATTAATAAGTGGAGGTGGTATGCCTAGGTAAGATGAACTGAAATCCATCCATCCATCCATTATCAATACCACTTATTCCCTCATGGGGTCGCGGGGGGAACTGGAGCCTATCCCAGTGGTCAACGGGCGAGAGGCAGGGTACACCCTGGACAGTCCGCCAGTCCATCGCAGGGCCACTGAAACTGAAACATGAACTGAAATGAAGAAGATAATTCAAATGAAACCAGATTCTGCTGGCAGTGATAAACGAGCTTCTTATGGGCGGCTGGACTTGGAGAGGGCGGCTAACAAAGGCCGACGTCAGTCAGACTGAAGACTATCTGGGGAAGAAACTGATGAAAATGTTACCCGTGCTGGACCACAGCAGAAAAAGTTATACTTATCCCACCTGTAAATATTGACAAATTGTTTCCCCATCGACAACGCTCCGGAGTGCAGGTCCAGTATGGATGCCTGTGGGGGTCATTGGAAAAAAAAAAAAAAAGAAAACAGCATAAGTTAGTGCAGAAAAAAAACCCAACAACAACCAAAACACTAAACTGAGCAAACACCTGGTGACTCTGGGAATACAGCCCAGTGACTGTTTCAAGCTTCGCTTCTGATCCCTCTGTAACCTATTTGTGACACTCTCTCCAGTTGCCCTTTACTTGTTTTGGCTTGTCAAATCCTTTGAGACTCTGCTTTGAAAATAACTAAATTTCTCAGAGGTCATCCAACTGCTTCCAAATGGTTCACTTAAATGTTTTTATGCTCTGTAAACAACTCCTTTACTGGCCTTGTAAAGCCAACCTGCCCAAACTCTTGGGGGAAATTAAGTCTTTTTAAATATACAAACTAACTGTCCCTTTTTTTAAGCTCTAAAACAGCTAATATTAAGTCAACACTACTGATTTGACAGCCAGGCCAGTGTTGTGTGTGTGTGTGTGTCTGTGTCTGTGTGTGTGTGTCTGTGTGGGCACATGTACGGTTTTAAATTCCTGTGATTTTAATCTGTTTGGATGTTTGTGATTAAAATTAATCAACAATAAAAAAAAGCCTTATGCAGACACATTTCTTCACTGGCACGATAATGAAGGCCAAGTTAGAAGCTGAACCACCTCCCCTGTCCTTCATTTCTTTGTAATTCAAGTTTTTCTTCTGAGAAGAATTTTCATCTGATATGTACGCATGTGGTAAAATGGAAATCTGTTTTTTTAGCTTCTTCATTTAAATTGCCCAGACTTAGTAGTTACAAAACTCACGAGGGAAAAAGCTTTTAAAAAGGAGGATACACTTGAGTAATTTATTCAAGTTCACTCTCACTTGTCTTAGTTACTCTCAAGGGGCACGTGGTTGAAAAACGGAGGGAAATATATCAAATTAAGAGCCTTGTAAATGAGCAGGAATACTTTTAAATCTATAGCAGCAAAAGCAGTGCTTCCAGAGGAAGAGGTTACCTCTGCTCTTCCATTAGGGATTTCTAACGAGCCACAAAAACTAAACCTGACAGCATTCATATCAACTGCCTTTACAGCTCATGTATTAATTGGAAGTATAGTAAGAAAGGTTTGCTATTACTTTATAAACCCATATAATGGGGTATTAGCTGTTTATGACGTGAACAATATTTATCCCTTTAACGCACAGCCTTTAACTAAAGTTTTTTGTCAAGATTATATCCTAAGAACCTCTCTTTGGGTAAAATAAAACATGCCAAATAAAGAGTTTGTACTTAGAAATGCTTATGTGGATAATCCCTGTTTGTCAAGACAGATAGTTAGACTCTGCATCACTAATAAAGACAAATACTCACTCCTCCTTCTGACCCTGCCAGAGCCAACCCCCTTTCAGCCAGCCTGTGGGACAAAACATCAAAAGTTGATGGAGCTGCTTAGCCCAGACAGAAGATGATACATGAAGAAGGTTAAAAAAAAACGAGGGTGGTGAGGCGTAGAGACAATCTACATATTTACCGCCTGAGGACGTGAGCTTCTTCCCTGTTCACCACGCCATCCGTGACAGCACGGCCACACTTCTGTGGGGTGCATCCTGTAAAGCACAAAATAAGTATAGTATGTGCAAATACCGCACAGTTTAGGGCTGTCATATTTCCTAACAATTAGATCACACAACTCTGAACTGATGCTGTATTTTCAAAGATGGGCTCTAAACTGGTTTCCACATGTATCTCTCTGATCTCTGGTTTGTCAAAACTGGTATCAAAAATATAATTAGATACTTAAAAGTAATGTGTCTCACAGAAAGGCTGGAAAAGACAAAGACGTGCCTCTACAGTGTAGAAAACAGTTAGGTGCAGAAGAGTAAACATAAGATGGACATCCATGAACTACGGTCAATCGTCATTTATCAGCCTACAATATAGAGCAACGCTGACAGGGTAACGTTTCTAAATTATTTTACAATTAAACAAAACTTAATTTCCCCTCTGCCATGAAGAGCTGACTTCTTTGTGTCATAACAGATTGGAGACATGTACTAGTGCTTTGAAATATCAATTACAAGACCAAATGGAGCCTCAAGATGCTTAGCAGCAACAAGATGCAAATCCTGGCTATGTCATGGGATTAAGGAATTACATGAATCTGGGATGGAAAATTAATGCAGAGCAAAACGTTGCCTGGTGCTGGTGATGTGTTTTCCAACAATGTTCATGCAACTTTAACAAACGCAATGTAAAAATCACAAATGCTTTAGTTTATTACAATGAACTGGCTGGTAAAGAAGGGGATGCGTGTACTGTCCTGGACAACCTTCAGTACTGTCCTGTTGCCAACAGAGAATGTTGGAGAACTGCGAAACAATTACAATGTGCCATTACAAACAAAATGGCAAAATAAAGTTAAGTTACAGCCTCTAAGTTGGGTTAGAAGGATGAAAACAACAGAGACACCCTGTAACTCATCGTCACTTCCTTCCACCTTACTGACTGAATTAATTGTTGTGAAAAACACTGGCACTTAAAGTAGGGAAAGCTTTACAGTCTGGACATATTTTGGAACGTGCTGCAGGCCTTTTAGACTTAGACTTAGACAACTTTTACTGTCATTTTGCATGCACAGAGTGCACACGGAACGAAATTTCATTTGCATACAACCCAATACAACAAAATCCTTCTGAACACACTGAGTAAATAAGGGTAAACACAGAGAACTAAACACAAATGTCAAAGGTTTTGTGTCACAAACATCTTTACCTTTTCAACCATATAGTTTTATGGTTCCAGGGATTGTTCTTTTGTTAATTTCCTTTAATTTAGGAACCACAAAATGTTCCTAAATCAAAAGTTACTTGATGCATTTGTTAACTTATGCAACAGCGCACTCTGGTGGTCCATGCATTTATGAAACTATCAAACTAGTTACAATATAATCATCCAATGCAACTATTATAAATAGTTATTTGTTTTTTCCTAATACTGGGTCTCACCTGGGTAACGTTTGTAGTTCTCATAGTCCTCAGAGCACTGGATGCTGTAGACTCTGGGCTGAGGGGAGACCAGCTCCCCCTGTCTGGCGAGTGTTTCTGTTATATCACTGTCCAGAGAAGTGATGTACAACCATGTGGCCACTGCTGACACACACACACCAAGCAGCAAGAAGGCGAAGATCCCACGCGAACTTCGCCAGGATGACCCATGCCTCAAAGCGTTACCTCTGAGAAAGACAAAAAAAAACTGGACTGAGAGGACTTCCAATCCGTTTGAATTTTTCAAGCCTTCCTTTAACTGTTGTGCACACCTGGAGGCAATGGGTCAGGTTTAAAAATACCAAAGCCATAGGGCAGGATGTGGGCTAGAACAAACCATGTGTTTGAAAAGTATTAAACTTTCAAGGAAAACTGCAGATATGTCTGAGTTAACTGCCAGCTTTGACAGATATCTTAACATCTGTAGCTTCCACATTGCCATTCAGAGTAATTGAAGAGTGAATAACTGACCATGGAAAACAATGAATAACAGAATTATTGGTACAACTGATGTGAGAGTAAGCTTGAAGTAATGGAAGGATGAGTATGAAAAAAAAGATATTACAGAGTAAGAAAGGGGTTACAGTTAAAATAATGGATATATGTTTGAAATACGTGGTTGAAACTTTCTGTCACTTGCTTTTGTTTAGCTGGAATGTAAACTGATAACAGCTAGCATGCAAGAGCCATGTTAGGAAAAGGTTTAATAAAAAGTGACAAATTTATAAACAAAACTACTTAGATTTTGCTGAACTAGTATGAGGTCATTTCCTAATACATACATTAGAGATTGCAGATAAATAGAATTCAGAAAAAGCTATGGATTAGTGATTGGGAATGGTTTGATCAACAGCAATCTATGAGACAAGAGCAAAAATTCCCAAAACATAAATGGCAACATTAGAAATAGTTACGTAAGCTTTTAGAACAATGTAAATGGAACAAGTATCTAGAACTATTTAAATAGATCAGCACTGGCTAAAGAATGGCTTTTTTAGAATTGGAAAACTAAAGTTAATGAAAAAAGGGTTAAGAATTCAAATGAATTTAGTTAAAACCACCACCCATTTGTAAACTGGTCTAAACCAGTTATTCTTGTTGGATAAAGAAATACATTTTCATTTGGGGATTTTAGCTTAGACTGTTTCAGGTGTACCCTACGAGGAATAAGTGGTATAAATAATGGAATGAGTGATTAGGGTGTTTACCGTACAAACCATGGTTACTGTTTTTGAAAATCTTTTCTATCATTCAAATGAAAAGAATCTAAGCTTTCTAAAGATTTGTCACATGTGCACATACACTTATGCTGGACATGCTGAAGTGAAATTGGGTGTCTCATTGGACCAAAAGAATCTATAGGAACAACATTTTGCCACTGGAAAACCCTACATTAGATACTTTCACACCAATTTCAGTGGCTACGGAGGCTTTAAAGAAACTGCTACAATGAGATGACCCTTTGCTAAGCGTTTACCTTTCCACCACCTATTCCAGATGCCAGGACTGTTGCTGAGAACAGAAGCATGACTATAACTACATTGAACTTTTCGAAAAAACGTATCCCCAGCCGTCTCAGTGGGGTTTAATTTTAGTGCTCATGGCAACAAGTCACAAGATCTTGGCTAAGCTGTCCAAATAGAGCTTGTAGGGGCTATTGTGTTTTAGCTAACTGTCTTATTACAAAAGATGTTTCCCCTTTGCCAAACCAAGATGGGACTGTACACTACTAAAAATACTAAAAATTTCTTAGGGTCCAGAATATAATTTAATGGATTTCATTGACACAATTAATAGAAACTACTGATTAATTACACACCTTTTGTAAACTATTTTAATGTTCTGATCACTTACTGGAAATGTATGCATCTTCTCATGGAGCTAGATAATGTAGAATATTTACTGTGAACCTGTCAACTGGTTTATAACGTAAAAAAAATAATTTGTAGAGCAAGAATGACAAAATTAAAGTAGAAGGATAATAAAGGAGACAAGCAATCTATGAAATAGGTGCATAAGAGCTCTGATGCTGGGGGTTACGATAATATGCTAATTATGGTACAGGAAGGTAAGCGTTCACCAACAGGTTACAGTTGGATAAATAAACTGGCTTGTACTGTACTATTTTTTGTTTTTTGTTTTTTTTTTGTTTTAACTTCTCTAGCTTCTCATGCATCTGTGTGTTGTTGCTAACCTCCCTCCCCCTTAATGCTAACACCTTTTAAAAGCCTAACCAGGGACGAAGGCTGCAAATTAGCCCATGGCTACAAGCCTTATGCACTTGAACATCGGCCACCTGTTTAATTGTACTGTCCCTGTCAAATAAACAAACAAATAAATAAATAAATAAATAAATAAATAAATAGAAATATAATGAACAAAAAAATGCACTGAAGCCACTCATGCTCACATGGCTTCCCAATACCCAATGCATTTTCCAAATAAAGAAAAAGTTGGAATGTTAAGATGGGAATTCTGCGAACATCTGTGTTCTCAAGTGTGACCACTCCAGATCATCCATCCATCCATTTTTGTAACCGCTTATTCCCTAATGGGGTCGCGGGGGGACAGGAGCCTATCCCAGTAGTCAATGGGCGAGAGGTGGGGTACACCCTGGACGATGCGCCAATCCATTGCAGGGCCACACAGAGACATACAACTACGAACAACCACGCACACTCAATCCTAAGGGCAATTTGGATTGTCCGATCAACCTAACATGCAAGTTTTAGTTTTTTTGGGGGACGGTGGGAGGAAGCTGGAGAACCTGGAGAGAACCCATGAAGACACGGGAGAAAATGCAAACTCCACACAGATACTGGTTCCCCCGGAGGCTTGTACCCAGAGCCCTGTTGTTGTGAGGCGATGGTGCCAACCACCACACCCCTGTTACACCCTTCTCCAGAATACTTGGCCAGAGTAACAGCATATGTAGCCAAAACAGTCAATCGCTTGTATTTTGTGGCCCCAAATTTATCTTCTTATTAGTTGTCTCCATTCTAAGAGGATTCTCCTGCAGAAATCTGATCCCAGTTTATCTATCAGCACTATTTGCTAAAAAAAGAAAAAACATTGATGATGGGACACGTCGTCCACTTGAACACAGCTCTCTGTTCCTTGAGACTGGTCACTGAAAAATGAATTACCTCCTAGGGTTATTGCCATGAAGGAAAGAATGTGGGAGAATTTCATAATGATTTAATGAAAGATGGCACTGAGAAACTGACTAGAACAACAGTGATGACATTGCATTACAAAAATATGAAAACTGGAATATTTAACATACACATGGCAAAACATAAAAGAGAATTTTAAAGGCTGCCGACACTTTCCCACCTGTCCTCATGCATTTTTGTCAATGACAATATATGAAAATCAAGGAATTTTGTGGGAAAATTGCTTCCTTTAATAAAACATAGCCATATCTCTCAAATGATAAAGGAAGTATTGGCACTCTGATTTTGGGGGTTAGGAGCCTATTCTAAGGTTGTCTTGGTCATTGTAAGCCAGTCATTTTAGTTGGTGTCTTGAATTAATTGTTGATGTTGCATTTTTTGCCAATTTCTTGCCCTTATCAAGCTATTTGTGAAAACACTAAAGAGTGAAAAGCTGTCAACAACGCTTTTTACTAATAATCTAATAAATTGACCGTATCTCATGGTTATTCAAATGATTGATTTCTATGTCGGAATTACTTCTAGATCGTTATTTATAATTTATTCGTGTTATTTCGGCCGACATTTGCCGACATGTATGGTCTTTTGTTAAGACAGTGTTGCACTCATTTCTTTGTATTATCTAAATGGGATACAACATACAGCTTCACCAGTAAAACGCCAACCTGTTCATATTTCGCATTTGATGTGTTTGTAATGACTTTGGCATTGTCGTAATAAATACTGTGGCAAGTCCACAATGCTGTCCAGCAGGGGGAAGCAATTGAGTGGGCTTCCTCTCGCTGTTCACACCGTTCAACCTCCCACAGCTTTGCCCTTTTTTACTAACCTTTTAATTTTCTTCTCTATCTCAGCTGCGTTTGACGCCTTTGGGTTCCTCGCACGCAGCAGCGCCATTTCGCCTCGCAACGTTTATGCCGTAGCATTCACAAAAAAACCGTTCCACACACGCTTGTTCCTTCAAGCCTTGGACCAGACATCCCGCACGCCTCGCCACCGAGCTGGTTCCACAGTCTAAGCGTTGCACTTCCTGGTGACGGCGTCTCGTCGTATCCCATTGGCTGGTTGGAAAAGAAAGTCTGGTTTTGATTGGACCAAGTCTGCATCTGACTGCATTGCTGCTCAAACGTAACCGAGCTAGGCTACCAAGTCGACATTTACTTTAGAAATAATTGTACCCTTCAATTACACAGAGAGGTAAAGGTAAGGTAAAACTAATGTCACTTAGAGACTATTTTACTGGTTTGTCGTAAAATGACTTCAAAGAAAGCTACATTCAATTTAGTTACCTTTTAATACGTTCCACAGCGTTGGAAACTTGCAAGGTGAATTTGTTAATGCTGTATCAGACTGAGAAACATAGTCTCGTGTCTGCATTGGTGTTTTTACATGTCCTTTGCATTACCAGGCAGAATGGCATACCCACCTTGGCCTAAAGGGCAGAAACTTGTTCACTTAGATTTGAAAGGTGCCCCTCCAAGAACTGAATACCTTCATAAGGTGAGCATCCTCTGAAATACAATGCTTATTCAGTGGGAACACTCCTCTTACTGTTCACAGTTTTAACTGCGGTATGTCTTTCACCCTTTTAGCTAATCGAGCTATTCTCCAAGCTCGGAGTAGACAGCCTGCTGGTGGAGTATGAAGACATGTTTCCGTACAAGGGGGAGCTCCAGCTGCTCCAGGCCACAGCACAGCCGGCCTACAGGTGCAGGGACATGAAATAGTGATTTTTGTTCAAATCTTTCCTTTGTTGTCATGTAGTGAGATCCTGTCATGAATTTACCAAACTCCACAGACTATTTTCATATCTAATGTGATAAAATTGCTTAGTGCACATATTGTTTTGTGCTTTTTTAGCCAAGAGGAAGTGCTGTCCATTCAGGAATTTGCCAGGTCAAAGGGCATGGAGGTTATACCACTGGTGCAGACATTTGGACACATGGAGGTAAGGCATATTTTCTCCTTGCTGTCAACTGAAACAAAAAGTTTGGACAGTATGAAGGATTTCCTTCGTTGTGTCCAGATTTTGTTTGATTGTAAACAGAACCTGAGATAGCTGCATCCATTTTTGCACTACAAGCCTATGATCTACTCTGGCAAAAGCTGGAAAACATATCGGGGTAATCTTTGTATAGCAAAGATTTGTAGGAGATCTTCAACTCAACAACACTCATGCGATGAAAGCATTTTTATATTTAATTTGATTTAATTTAAAACATGTATGTAATATTGCACACTTTAGGTTGTATTTGTAGAAAAAATTGAACAATTTAATTTAAAACAGTTGTTTGTACTATTGCAAACTTTAGGCTGTGTTTGTTGAAAAAATGGAACAAAATGACACCTCTCCTTACTTTCAGACATACATTTTTCCAGTATCTTTCCCTCCAGGAAATACTCGACATCTCACTTCTTCTGTTACTAATGGATTTATGTATTGATTATAACATAATACCATCAATATCAAACTCCACCATTAAACTCTATTAGTACATGTAGACGTACAATATACAACATCATTTTACTTTTCGCATTTAATTTTCAATTTTGAACACATATTTTCTTATAATTATAAAAAGAGCAAATTAGAACTTTTAAACTGATGTGATTTCTTTAAGAAAATTGTGCAGCAGTCAAATATGTCCCAGAGCAAGTCCAGAATGCTTAGGATCCTACATGGTATGAACAAATAGGAAAAACTCTAATCACAAACAATGTGCTTTCAAAATTACTGGAAACAGTACATTTATTATGGCAATAGAATTTGGGATTAAGATTTAGTCTATATTTTGGCCCTCTCATGCTTTTGTCCCCTCTCCTCTCACAGTTCGTGTTGAAGCACCGGTCCATGTGGCACCTTAGGGAGGTATCACACTGTGTGGGCACCTTGAATCCACACAAAGAGGAGGGATTGAAACTGTTGCTAGAGATGCTGAGGCAGGTAGTTGATCTGCATCCTGGCCTGAAGACGCTGCACATCGGAGCAGATGAGGTAAGGCTTATTTAATGTTAATGTTTTCTTTTCTTTCTTCTATAAAACCAGTTGTAGTTTTGCAACTGTGTGAGAAACACTTGCTTGCCTGAAAGGTTTACATGCTTGGTGATGGTGAGGACTCTAAACAATGGCTGTCTTCTCCTGGACGTACTATGGAGCAACTTTTCCTGTGTCATGTGACCAAGGTGGTCAAAGCTATTAAGCAGGAGTGGCCTCACATGACCATCATAATGTGGGACGATATGTTGAGGGGTATGAGCCAAGACACACTGAAAGGTGAGGACAAATATCACTAGGTTCCCTGTGAATCTTATAATTAATAGCATTTTTTTTTTCTTTTCTGACTGGATACATTTATTATTTTTGTGACAGCCAGTGGTCTGATAGGACTTGTGGAGCCCATGTTATGGGACTACACCCCCAATCTGGATGTGGATAAAACTGGTAGGAGCTGTGCATTAATCTTACACTGTGCATTAATGGGAGTAAAAAATATTATGTATGTATATATATCAAAGATATTACTTTTTGTTGTTCTTTATTTTGTAAAGTCATTTAAAATTTTGCATTTCACAATGCAAAAATACACTGAAGGCATTTTGTGTTAAAACAAAGAGTAAACAAATAATAAACATCAGAGAGATTGCTGCACTCAGTAAATAAAGTAAGCAAGACAAATTACTGGAATATAAGATGACTCCCCCCTCCACACAATCATGGGGTCTATGTGACCAATATCTACACCTGTATTAATGTGACAGAAAAGCACAAAAGACTAAAATATAAAGCATATACATGAGAGTAAAGATTAAATATTGATGGGAGTTTGTTAATTGTGTGTTTAAATGGTGAAAATATTCTAATTAAATCTCTCAGGGATTTATGTAATACAAATGTAGCCACAGTCATTCATTGAAAAGTGATTTTTTTTATCAGACAATGCTGTAGTTAGAAAATTTGGATTTTATTAAAGCTGAGTGACCATAACTGAACAAACAGTTTTAATGAGAGTTCTGATATGAATGACCTTCTGGATAAACAGAAAGGAGAAATATGTGGTTGAGATTAACTTTAAGAGGAACTCGGCTGCATTAATGTACATTTTAACATATTGATTTGTGGGGAAAAATATTGCAAAAATGTAGATCTAGAGACAGTTTTGGTCTTGTTGACATGCAAGTATAATGAAGTGTTAATACTGGGTCCAGACAGAAAAGTCCACATTTTGCTGCTTGTCTTCTTTTAGCTAAAGTTTAATGCAAGATTTGGAGTTTATACTTTCTACATAGATTGAAGAAAGTCAGCAGTGTGTGTTTGAAATACATTGGCTAAAATTGCACTAAATCAGTTCATTCAGCTATTTAGTAAACTTAAAATATTTAACCCAAGGAATTCTATACTGTCTAAGGATCCTGTAGCTGCTTGTAATAGCCAACGATAAGTTTGGTAAATCAAAATGATCTGTTTATCTGTGTTCTCAGTGTCTTTGCTGGAGAAGTATTGCAGTGCCGGTATGTCAGACTTGTGGGCTGCCAGCTCCTTTAAAGGCTCCACAACTGTTTACACTTGTGTGACCAGCACACAGAGACATGTTGATAATCATTTGCAGTGGCTAAAGGTCGCTGCCCATCTGTCCACTGGTGTAAAGCTGAAAGGCATTGCCCTCACAGGCTGGCAAAGGTGAGATTAAGTGAAAATTAACTGGAGTTCTCAGGCACACTCACTGGCAGATCCTAGGTCCTGTGATCACTGCAATCACAATGCCCCTTCAGATCTGACACTGTTGCGCAATCTTATGTTATACATGGTGACAAGCCGACAGCTTGTGCTAGCTGGGGGAACATGGTGAAGAACCCCGATTTTGCCTTTCCTGGGCAGTATTACCAGTGACAGTTCTTAGCCACCCACAGAAGCCTCAGGCTGACTTACAGCAGTTGTGTAAGCAGGTGGTAGCACAGCTGGCCACGTACTAGCACTACCCAGCCACCACCAGTCCACCAAGGCTTTGCAACTATGGATGTTGGGCAGGGGTGGGCAACTCCGGGCCTCGAGGGCTGCTGTCCTGCAGGTTTTAGAGGTTTCCCTGCTTCTACACACCTGATTCACATCAACACAACATCAGCAGTCCTGTTCAGAGCTGAAGCACCTTTAGTAGAGATCAGTTTGATGTGAATCAGGTGTGCAGAAGTTGGGAAACCTCTAAAACCTGCAGGACAGCGGCCCTCGAGGCCCGGAGTTGCCCACCCCTGATGTTGGGGGACGTGATGTTAGCCATGTCCCATCGTGGGATTTGCCTACAGTGGTAGAAGTGCTCTTTGGATGCCTAATCACGCAAATGGAGTGCATTGACTTAAAGGCACTGTTTCTCAAAACTATTGTGTTGTTGGGATCCCATCAATTCTCTCTGCTGATATAGCAGAGAGACTTGATGGGTTGTACACTCATACATTATGTCTACATTTTTTCTTCCAGACTTTTGGAAGGTTTTACGTCCTAACTCTGCCTTTGTACTTGAAGTTATGGAGTATTCTTATGCTGTAGGCGCCTGTCAGTGAAGTTCCAGACATTTCATCCTCCACTGTTTGCTATTGAAAGGAAGAAACTATTTGATTTTATCTGTCCTGTACCAGCTGTGCGTATTTATTTTAACAGGACTAAAGGTTTTAAAAGAGGTTACATGATCTTTGTGTCCTGGGCTACTGGTCACAAGGGGAGTTCTCACCATCAACTCTCATGCTGGGTAGTGGAGGCTGCGAAGGAGCCATATGAACACATCATCACACAGCCCTTATTGTAAGGGGACATGGAAGAAATACACTTGGGGATTTCAGGCAGTGGGGGGTGGGAGCTCCAATGCAAGGCAATTTGGTCAGTCTGGCTTTGACAGACCCTATGATAGTGAAACTTCTGTGATGGGTCACACCAGACGGCAATTCCAATAACTCTGTTTTAGAGAACTGAAGTAACACTGGTAAGCTTAATTTACCTGTTGTGTTGCTGCCAAGGCATATGTTGGTTTCCATTTGAACTATAAGAAAGAATTATTGTTGTTAAGGAATAGTCTGTTTTTTCAGTTTCAGTAAATCTGAGGTTTTTTGGTTTGTTTATCCCCACTAACAGGTATGACCATCTGTCAGTCCTGTGTGAACTGATGCCTGTGGCTCTCCCATCACTAGTAGCTTGTCTCCAGACTCTCATCAAAGGTCATTTCAGTGCTGAGGCTCACAGCAAAGTAACTGAGACACTTGGAGTATCCTCAGTGGAAGTGGAGGCTATGGAGAGGTGAGATTCAATACTGTTGATGTAACGCAGCCAATTTCCACGTATTAACAGAACTTAACTCTTTATGACTTTCAGGACATATGCTGTCGACCCACAGTTCCCGGGAAGGAAACTGGCCGAGTTGATTGTCGAGCTCGATTCTCTCCTTAACTCTGAGGAATTGAGATTTTTTGAAACTAGCATGTGAGTTATAGGATGTGGAAAAGTATGGCATTTTGAGAGTTATGTGTAATTCTATACACTAAATATAAAAGTGCAGTTTGCGAGCTTAGTGTAGCACAATATCAGGCAAAAGAAGGTAGCTACAGTATAGCCTTCGCTCTTATTAACAGTTATGAAAATCACAGAAGAATGAAGTGCAGATTTATTTGTAGATGCTTGAAAGTTACTACCTCCTCTTTTTTTCAAACTGTTGATATTTTTTGTCTTTATGCCCTAAGATTAAAAAGTAGCTGGCTTCATTAGTGTACCAATACAATTACGAGAAGTACTTTAATTTTCAAAGCAAAACACATTACATGATTACATTTATTCTGGATAACATTTATTCCCCTGTTTAGCCGGATAACCTATTGTGTGTGCTACTGTAGGTTTGTAAGAGGATGGTTCAGCCCCTACCACCGACAGAGAAAGATGGTCACACCACTAATCTCCATGCAGATTCACAGCCAAGCATCAGTGTAAGCATTTGTTCCTCTTTATTTATGTAGATTTTTAAAAGATTAGTATAGATAGAGTAACCTTTTAAATGTGTTTATATTTAAAGAGGTTGCTCAGCAACCATTGCCAAAGAAATAAAAAGGTAAAAGGAAATAAAAGGGTAAAAGGATTAGCCTCTGTAGTAATATGTCCAGTAAGCAGTAGTATTAATCTTATTTTTAAAGCATTTCTTTTGGCAGTACAGCTTCTTACTTCTTCCTGACCAAACTAATTTAAACTCTAACTGGTTGAATTGACAAATAGTGTTGGGAAATCCAACTATTGCAGCCAGTAATCTTTAAACTGGCTCCACTAATCAGATCCATATGCTACATCCATATGTTATACTGTCTTGGGTAAACATACTGCCTTATAGTACAGCTAGCACTGCTGTAGACTCCTAAGCATGGACACTAACTTAACTGAAACCTCATCTGATTAAATCTCAGGTATCTGGCAATGCTACAACCAAAGGTGGAGGCAGTGAAAGAAGAGATGATGCATCTTTATCCAGATTCAACTGCTCATGAGTGGATAGAGGAACATGTCAGCCCTGTAATGGCACCTTTACAGCAGATAACACAAGAGATCCATGCCTGTTTGAAGGAAATTGTGCCATAAAAAGGGTCACCTCTTATTACATCACCCCTAAAAATATCAGGAGTGTTGTTTGAATGTGATTTGAAGCACAATAACGAAGAGAAGAAAGTTGAAAATTTTACAAAAAAAAACTTTATGTGAGTTCATCACGTATATGAAAGTAAACAAAGACAATGAAATCAAATGAGTAAATACAAATCTTTTGACTTTCATTTCAAGTGACAAATCAACACTTCCAGTGAGTTTGCCAATAGCCTTAAGTGAAAACAACTGTAAGGGGATAGAAAACAGTATTTACCTGAGATTCAGACTGATGCAAGGAAAAAACAAATGTCAAAAGACAGATACTCTTGATTAGGAGAAAGGTTACAGTTTGCACATACATGCATGCACCAAGGTTGCAGAATAAACATACAAATAAATGTGAAAAAAGGGGAATATGAGCTGGGTGGTCCAGAATTACTGTGGGAAATGCAATTTCCATTGTCTCACAGGTATAAACACTAATTAAGAGTTCAGCAGGAAAGCACGGTACATCCATAATCTGGAGTGGAATAGCAAATAGTCATTATTTCAAGAGACATTACATTAAATAGAAGAAGGCTTCAGTGTGACATAAAATAAGGCATTGCGTGGGAAACCTGGAGTATAGATGAACATCAAGATGTATTAAGAGCATCCCTTTATTTCCCAATGGATGAAACAATGCCCCTAACTCGTTATACCAGACCAGGGTTAGTCTGCTTCATCGTCTGGGTCAGCTCCATCGTCTGGCGAATCTTCTTCATCGTCTCCATACTGAGCCTCAAACTCCTGCTGCCTGCGTTTCTGCAGCTCCTCCAGCTCCAGGAATCGCTTCAGCAGGGCACCGACCGCCTCCACGTCACTACGAAGGCCAGCAAAGGACATGTGTTATCTCCTGCAAGTTGTACTGGTTTGGGTTCAGATATGGGAAGGAGTATGAACAGGGTGTTTTCATGACACACAGATACATATACAGTGGGGGAAATAAGTATTTGACCCCTTGCTGATTTTGCAGGTTTGCCCACTTACAAAGAATGCAACAATCTATAACTTTAATCATATGTACATTCTAACAGTGAGAGACCGATTCCCTTAGAAAATTCCAGAAAATCACATCATATGGATTTATAAAAATTGAAAAATAAGCATTCTTTGTAAGTGGGCAAACCTGCAAAATCAGCAAGGGGTCAAATACTTATTTCCCCCACTGTATATACAGATATATATTCTGTTATAAGTAGATTTAAGTTTTTAAAAGTAAAAAAAAAAAAGACAAGTAGATTTAGTCATCGTCAAGCACCTTTTTCCCCTTTCACTTAACAGATTACAGCTTTTTACCCATTTTTAACTGTAATTATTATCATCATTGCAATTATGAAGAACCTCTGTTAATGCAATGATGCAAACAACTGTCTTTTCGCTGTGAAGAAATCACTATTGCAACTGCAGGCTTAAGAAACATTGTATCATCCACTTGTAGCTGTAACTGTTAAATCTACAGGGTGGAACTTCTTTACGATAATGAAAAACCTTTGTTCGTGGGAACAGCAAGCACATTTGAACAAAATTGGTTCCAAACACAGTTGGGAGACATATTAACTCTACATAAGGATATTCCTCTAGTTTTAAACATATTTGTCCCTGTTTATTCCCATATGGCACTGTATTTTCTGTTATTCAGTTTTTCTTTTTGATTAAAAAAGTTACCCATCACAGTTAGAATTTTAGCACAGTTTTTCCGTTCTTAAATATAGATGTGGAATAAGTATGATATTATGAAAAATATTAAATTCTGATTAAATAACAACACTGGGATAGGCTCCAGTTCCCCCCGCGACCCCATGAGGGAATAAGCGGTATTGATAATGGATGGATGGATCATCAGAAATAACTAACTAATGAGTATTGAGACTGAAAGATAACCAACCTGCGTCCACTTATTGTGGCACTCTGTGTGAGGGGGTAGGAGAAGCCTGCAGCTAACCTCAACACCAACAGATAACCCCTCCCTAAGTACCGCACCCTCTCCTCCTGCACAGAGACGTCACACAGCTGTGCCAGATCTAACACAACTAAGAGACAGAAATAAAGAAAAAGCATCTACATAGAGTAATTGCTCACCCCTCCTCCTAAAGGATACTGTAAATCCACTTAGTGGTTTCACTCACCTCTCTCTTGCCCCTTCCTCCATAATGTTAAGATAAAAGCATACAAACTGAAGGTTTTGAGCTCTACTTCGTTCTTGGTTTTGTCAAACACAGCCTCCTCCCACTCCTCCATATTCTGCATGGCCACAAACAAGCAGCCGGTCACGTAGAAGAGCTTCCACAGCGTGCTGTCTGCAGAATCCGCCCAACAAATAGGAAAAGAACAAAAAGAGGTTGAAAAAAGACCAAAAATAAAACTCAAGTAAAAAATACTGTGCAATTATGCCACATAATTTTATGTGTACCTGAGCTGTAGTATGCAGCTGCCAGTCCAGCAGATGCTATGCCTGCAATTAAAACAAGGCTTTTTTATTTTGGATCACAGCAATGAGAAGTTACAGTTTAATGATTTCAGGCCCATAGTTGATGGAGAATAGCTTGTTTGAGGGTGCTTATTTCATAAAGGTGTCTGTTAAAGCTCAAACTCACCAACAAGAAGAGACCAAGAGCGGATACCCGGAGATCTCTTGAGGTGGAGTAGGGTGGAGCTTTGCTCCGCTACTGTCATATATCCCATCTGAACAAATGCATAAAATGAAATCCACTTTTTTATCTAAAAGCTAAATTCAATGACCACACATTACCTACATTTTTAAACATATATGTTTGGTTATTACATTTAATGTAGATGGTTGTCATAATATCTTATTTACTATATGCTGGTGATATTATGATGATACCCTTTGTCTTTTGGGGGTAATTTATATCACATGGATATTTTCCTCTTTTTTCCAATCATGAGGAAAAGAAAATTGCACTGAACAATTTTTTATTTCACCAGCTGGTGTCAAACTAAATTATTGTTTTATTTGTATTATCCACCTTATCACATGTTGACAGTACCCCATTCTTTAATATCATAATTACAGTAAACTGCAACAAAAGTAGTAAAACAGATACAATCTCAAATAGCACCCTTTTAAACCCAGGAAGGGTTAGGGTTAGGGTTAGGGTTAGGGTCTTTATAGCAGTCTTTATACTATCTTTAAAGATAGTCTTTATATGAAAATATAGACAAGAATACATTGACACAACTAGTTAAACTATCCTGAGGATACAGAATTTAGAAGGCCTCAAAGCTGTATATCAACTGTGCGTCATAGTTTTTTTTTCTTTTATTTAACTCCTAAAGGTGCACATTTGATGAGTTTATTTTTAAACAATTAACACAAAAGGTCATAATTCCATTGACTTTCCAAAGAGGGTTGTATTTTTGTTGTTGTTAATTAATTGCTACAATGAAAAGCAGGAAGAACACATGGCTAACATGAATGATCTGATTATTCTGCCCTTTTTTCCTCTATTTGAACTCAAACGTTTTACATCTGTAAACAAAAGAGTTTGATCACCCAAAAACAGTCAGTCTAAATCAAGATACGGCTCCACTTCTGCATAGTGCAGTGACTGTGAAAAGTAATGCCAAATGGGACTCAGTTCCTGTTTTGTTTTTTGCTCAAGAGCCTCTATGACATGTTAGGACAACCTGATAAAAATGTTCATAATAAATAAGTCTTGTTTTAACTTTCTTTTCTTCAAAAACTTAAAATGGAAAATGTGACATAAGCAGCTTGGAAGCATTTACTAGGGAGAGAAGAACCATAAACATTTCTGTCTTTATAAACATTCTTACATCCTTTATTTAATTTTAAATACTTTCAAAGACTACAAAATGAGCCCCTGTTTATAATTAGGATTACTGGAGTTTCACAGATCTGTCCACACAAACTGTCTCACCAGGACCCTAGAGGTCAATAATGACTGGTTTTGTTTTGCTTACCTGCAGTTCGTTTATCTGTCTGTGAACTTTAGCCTTGTTGATTTAAGAAAAAGAGTATTTACACGAAGAAACACATGCAGTGCAATACAAGGAAGTCTTCTTCATGTCATTGCAACAGTTGAAGCAACAATCCTGAATGGGTGACACTTCCTTCCGGGATCCGTCTGCACTGATTGGACAGGCTCTTTTTTCCCTGCTTTCAAAACAAAAGTTTGCACTTCTGTTTAATTTTGTGTTGAACACGATGACTCGTTTTTTGTTTCCCCACACAACGGTTTTTCATCTCTTTTTTTCAGACTTGAATTCTTCACGAGAAGAAAATAGCTTTTTGACTGCCATGAAAATCAAAATTCATGCAACTGATGCAACAACAAGTGTACAGGTTCCTGTGCACACTCATTTGATGGAGCAAGATACACATATCTTCAGACTTTTTTCACGTGTCTCGATGGTCGAATAACCTACCAAGCATTACAAGAACAGAAGCTCCTACCCTAACCCCTACCCTGCACATCCCCACCTATCTACTACTCTTTTAAGTAATATCTTTATTCTGGGATGGCTTACTGTCAGGTTGTTAACTATAATGTTAACCATAATGTTGTATCTGCATTATAAGTCGCTTTGGATAAAAGCAACTGCTAAACGCATAAACACTTTCTTTTCACCCCAGTAGATTTGAAAATGGTTTATGGTAATTGTTGAAGTGTTTTTTGTCAACGAGTTAGTGCAAAGTCACTCCTAGCTATTGGCAAAATACAGGCTTTCATTTCTATGTAACTGTCAGATCATGCTACTGATATTTCACCTTTAACAAAGTGGGAGATTGAATAGTTGGGGGTGGATTAGTAGATTAGTTTTCTTAATCTGATTGAGAACCTTACAAAAAAAAGATAAAACGTCCCCATTTTAAGCATATTTAAAGTAAACATGGATGAAGCATCGGATAAGGGCACAGATTTTTTCAGTGAGAATTCCAGCTTTATAGAACCCCTATCATCCTCATTGACGAAAACGTCCATATATCTACCACATTTAATATAATAAATCTATTAACATCTTAATTTAATCAAATAATCCAGAATCTCCTAAACACATATACTTGAAAATACAGAAGATATTTCACACCGCATGTTAGGTTTCATATTGAGGGACAGTAAAGAAATTGTTGTCATAGTGTGTAACTGTTGAAGGTGTTCTATAGAAATTCAAATATTAATCTGACAATTAAATCATGATAAAACACTTAAACTGAATTAAATTTTATTTCGTTCGTGTGGGTAAAACCATAGAGTTCGTAGAGGGCAGGTAACTATTTTGGCAGGACACCGGAAGCAGACCGTTATTTAATTTACGCATGCGCCCGGGATGAACCGCGGGGACACAATGGTGCTAAAGGTATACATAATGGCGTAGACTCACGAAGCAGTTTCGGGGGTCGAAAGCAGCACTTAACATATTATGAAGTAACCGCGGATGAATACGTCTGCAGTGGTGGTAAGGCCACCCACAGAGGATTTTACTTGAAACCGAAACAGTGCAGAGTTCACCTGCTGAAGCCGTAACATTGCCGCAGTCAGATTTTAGAAGTGGTGGTGCGTAATCCTGGTTGTCCTCGGCAGGTTTCTATGCTTTTGTCTGAGAGAGCAGAGAACTAAAAACCGTCCGGTGAGTGACTTCAATACTCATTACCCCTGCGCTATTCGCTACTCAAGACACGTGAACCTTGTATCGTGTGTAAAATGAATGCCTTGAAAAAAAGGCCTTTTTTTATGTAGAACACCAACTCGAGTATAACTGAAGCTGTCAAATGAGTTGAACTCCCCTTTAAAATGTTAATACTGAAGTTATGGCGTAGTTATAGGAGCTGGTCTTCAAAAGCACGGGGCAATAGTATGGTGATAAAGCACCCATTATTGAGGGCTAAATTGGTTAGGTTTTAGCCCATACTTGCCTTTTTCCCCCACATAATTTGACTGTTTGTGTTGTTGCTGTGTATATAATTAACGCAAGCTATTAAACGTAATGACAGGACATTAGTTCATGTTTGCCGTTTTCCCACGATTAGCAGGCTGCTGTGTTTGCCATAAACCAGCTGCCGGTGATAGGACGGAGGCTTAAAGAGGAGGGCTGAGCCGGTTAGACTCCTGATCTGATATAGTGGTGTTGACAACCAGGCAGAGACTGGGAGGAAATCGTCAACACAAGGAAGCTCATGGTATCGTTTACCTCCTGCCAAAGAAAATGTCAGAGCTCAACATAGCCAAGCGAAAGGAGAAGTGTGAGAACTGCACCAATCAGGTACAACTCGGCTCTTAATGGCTCTAATTCTGGTTTTTGAGGGATTATTTTTTATGTTACTATTGTCGGTTCCTGAATGGAATTTGTGATGGTACAGTGCAACAAGAGGCAGAGTGATGAAAGTGCCATCCCCAACTTGGAGAAGGAGGAAACTAATGGGAAGGTAATGTCTTTTTTTTTTATTTTTGACATATTACTTTTTAGATGCAGCTGATTGATCCACATTACCGTAGCCAAGTTAGTCTATTTTCTCTCTTCGCCCCAAAGGGAAATGAAGGATCTCAGCTGTTGCTGAGTGCATGTCTCTCCTGTGATGGCTGTCTGTCAGAGGAGGACAGCCTGAGGATCTCCCAGCAGAACCTGGAGGAAGTGGAAAGAGTTCTGGAGCTCAATAAGGTATGCTGCACCCAAAGCTGGCAGCAAGGGGAGAAAATTACGGAGCACTTCTATTTCAGTTGATTGTTTCTTCACCCTGTCTCTATCAGAGGTGTGACGCGTCGAAGCACAAGTTGCTGGTGGCTTCGGTGTGCCCGCAGTCTCTGCCCTTCTTCGCCGTCAGGTTTGGTCTGGATATCTATGAGGCCACCCAGAAGCTCTGCGGCTTCCTCAAAGGGCTGGGTGAGCGGGGCAGTGATGCCTTCCTACCTTGAGCGTTAAGTGGCATGATTTTCACCGGAAACAGATGGGCTCAGCCTTTCACACCAGCTCTTTCTAACTTTTCTTAGGAGTCGCATTTGTGTTCGACACCACTCTAGCAGCGGGATTCAGCATTTTGGAGACTCAGAAGGAGTTTATTCAGCGGTATCACAGGAAGCACCATGACTCCCAGGCCTTGCCCATGTTCACCTCCTCCTGCCCAGGTAAACCATCACAGCTTTCCTCTTCTCTCCTCTCTCACTGTGTCTTTTCCTTTCTTTCTCCTTTATGACTCGACCTGTTCCACCAAACTTTTGGCTTAATTTTCCATCTGTTTCTGCACCTGTCTGCTGTTTCTTCCCAGGTTCCTCTGCTAAAATTGGTCAAACTGAGCTTGTTGTAAAGCGACAGACAGCAGTGGGGAGCTGGTAAAGGGAGATAACCAGCTCTTCCTTCACCACTCCCTCTATCAGAGATAGGACAGAGAAGCTTTGAATATTTAGTGGTGGCCAGACATCCATGCATTGGGTTTAATGAAGAATAGAATACTCATATTCTTCTCTTGTTTGTGTCCACTGATTCATGTAAAAGTGGTTATAAAATTTGTCTTAACTTTTTTTTTTTCTAGTCGATTTTAGTTTTACACCTAAAATGGTTGGGATTTTTGTTGTGAGCTGTGCATAACACTATTTCTCTTTTGTGTGTGTAGGTTGGATCCGCTACTCGGAACGTGTCTTGGGTAGCCTGGTCACTCCTCATATCTGCACAGCCAGGTCTCCCCAGCAGATTATGGGCTGTCTGGTCAAAGACTTTTTCTCAAAGCAGCAGGTAAGGAAACACAGGTTCTGCCTAAAGTGGCTTTGTGAAATATTGGGAACTTCTGTTTAGGCGTTTGGCATTCACTCACCCACACTTTGTCTACACTCATCTAAACAGTGTAGAAGCAGACACGGCCTGTTTTAGTTTCTTCTAAGGAAACTGCAACAAGAGGAAGAAATAGATATGGCACCTTCTTCCCCATTGATAGAAAAAATGGCGCCAATTAAAAATGATGGAGCAAAACCTGGATTTGGTTGAGGAAGGAGGGAGAGATAAAGGGATGCTGAGGTTTTATATTTGTGTGCAGTGTTGTGGTGTGGAAAAAACATTTTTTTTTCTGTCTTCTTATTGTAACACCCAATTGTTCTCTTAATAGTTTGCTGAGATATTCCTGCTTTTTTATGTAAGGCCTTTTATAAATTTGTTGTTTCTGCTGTATTTGTACGTAAGTTGTTTCAAATTTTTACTTTTTTGTACTAAAGTTAAATTTGGTTAAAAAAAAAAGTTTACTGTTCAAATTAAAACAATTGTTTTCTGCACTTTTTTTAAATGTAATTTATAGGTCTAATGTTTAAAGCGTCCATCAGAATGGAAAGAAAAAAACTCATACGAGAGTCTGTAATGGGAAAATGTACACCAAATAAGGCACCATTTTTAAGGTGAAATATAAAAACTTTTTTTTTCTTTTTTGAGATGCAACTTTAAAAGTGACCCCATGAGTCATAATGAGTGTGTGATGTGTGAAATTCACACAAGAATAGAATAGAATATTTTATTTGTCCAACAGTGGGGAAATGTACAGGTTACAGCAGAAAAAAGGCAAAAAGTACAAGCACAGTGGAGGCATAAATAAAGGTAATTTACAATGTAACAAAATAAATAAAGGTAAATAACAAGGGATTTATTAAAATATAATAATATGATTATTAAAATTATCCATCCATCCATTATTGTAACTGCTTATTCCCTAATGGGGTTGCAGGGGTGGACTGGGGCCTATCCCTGTAGTCAATGGACAAGAGGCGGGGTACACCCTGGACTGTCTGCCAGTCCATCACAAGGACAAACAACCACGCACACTCACACTCACTCCTAAGGGCAATTTGGAATGTCCAATCAACCTAACATGCGGGTTTTTGGACTGGGAGGAAGCCGGAGAACCCGGAAAGAACCTGTGCAGACACAGGGAGAACATGCAAACTCCACACAGAAAGGTCCTGGTACCCCCGGGACCCAAACCCAGAACCCTCTTGCATGGAGGCAATGGATGCTAACCACCACGCCCTTATTAAAATTAACACCAATTTACCAATTGACTACTGAAGCTAACATTATGGATCGGGCAGTGCAGGTGTTCTCCATCTTAACGGCAGTGGGAAAGCAGGACCTGCTGAAGTTGACAATCATCTCTTTTTTTCTTTCTGGTGTTGAGCTGAAACTGGTTGCACTCACACCAGCTGAAAAAGTTTCTGACTGTCCTATATTCCAGGTCGTTCCCTTCAGAGACACTGCGTCCGGTGTGTTTTGGCATTATTGTGAATGCTACAATGTTTAAACATTATTTGGTCAAACTTGCACAGATGAATGGTTTCATCTCAATGTAGTGATTAGCTACAGTTCGGTAAACTGGACTGGTTGGATGTTTTGGATGAGAGGTTAAAGGGAAGCTTAAAGCTTCAGTTCAGCTCTGCAGCTTTGGCATTTAGGGTCACCATGACTCTCAGCATTTAAACTTATGATTAAATTGAAAGTTTTGATATTCTGCGTTAAGACAGTTTTATTGTTCTGCAGTGTTGGACTGTCCTTTTTTTTTCTGTCCCAATAGAAGCTGAGCCCAGAAAAAGTCTACCACCTGGTGGTGGCTCCCTGCTTCGATAAGAAACTGGAGGCAGTCAGAGAGGAGTTTTACAGCAGTCTGATGGAGACCAGGGACGTCGACTGTGTTCTTACCTCAAGTAAGATCAGATTTTTACTCTGGTGTAAGATGTCATCAGTGTTTGTTTTAAAGCTCTGAAGAGGTGGATCAGAGCAGCTAAGGTTAAGGCTTGAGGTCGCTGTTTGTTTTGAGATAGTCTTCCGATGCAGGTAAGATCACAAGAGTAAATCGGATAAGAAATAAAACTGCAGCCTGATAACATCATCAAGCAGAAAATGGTATTTGTCCTGAGCTGCTGAGGGGACATTGCTTCAGCACAAAGCACAAAGCACACACACGCAAACACACAGACACACACACACCTTCATGAGATCAGTAATCGTATCCACATACAAGTGGAAAACCTTCCAAAAGCAGCCGGAAGGGGCTGTTTTGTTTTGTTCTGTTTCTTTTGAAAAGGTTCAGTTGAAATCAGCTGGCACAAGGCTAATTAGCATGTTGGTACAGCTAGCAAAACCAAATGTTAACTGTACATCAGTGTCCAGTATAGTGTACTGTATCTCTCATTATACTGGACACTGATATATTTCACATAGGATTAAAACAATGAAAGTTAACTATAATTACTCAGAGGAAAAGGCTCCAGTAAAAGGAAAACATCAGACCGTGACATTATGGCATATTGTACCATCACATTTTGCTGTTAGGATTGTATTTTCTAGCATTATTATTATTGTTATTATTATTATTATTTGAAGTAGTAATAGTATTATTAGTATTTGTATTATTGGTAGTAGTATTATTACCATCGTTATTGGTGATTGGGCATATATGACCTTCAAACAATGAAAACACCACTCTTCCAAGCTTTGATTGTAGCATTTATTTCCTAAGATTTGACTATCTTCTATAGTTTAATAAAGGATACAGTTCTAGTGGTTTATGAGTGCATTGTTGTAAGTTTCCTTTTTATAAATATGCAACCATCTGGCCTTACACTTCCCCTGAATTTAAAGCTTACTTTAAAACATTTAAAAACTCTAAATCAAAGGCTTTAAATCCACTGTGTGATAGTTTTTTGCTCATCTCTTACAAGAGAGAGCCCATTTGGACCACATTTAAACAAGTCACTGTGTTACTTCCTCAGAGATGTGTATTACTCCTCTTTGTACAACTGTCTTAGCTGTTTAAAAGAGAAGAAACCATCTCACGACCAAACTATACTTGTCCACAAAGTTATTAGTAATCCAGCTAACTGAGGAGTTACTTAGCAAAATCACAGCAAAATTGAAGTAATTACAATTTTTAATTATTTGTTCAAAAGTGTCGGCCACACAGAAACTGAAAACATTCTGCTGTCCTATAAAAAAAAAAAGCACTTAACCCAAGCCCAAAAATTTCAAAGCGATGACGTGCCGTTACTTAATTGGACATCACCTTTCAGAGGAGATTTACCACCTGATGGAGAAGAGGAAGGTGTCAGTGGAGGAGCTGAACTCCGTTCCACTGGACCAAGTGTGAGTTTATAAGTGACCTGAAATTAGACCAGTGCTTTTTGTGAATAATTCTGCAGAATGTGTCTGTGATCATATGAATCTTCTCAAGCTTTTGATGTGATTTTTATTTTAGGTTGGGGGAATCTGGACAGGCGATGCTGGCGAGGCACGACGGCAGGGGCTCTGAAGGATTCCTGGAACATGTGTTCAAACACGCTGCTAAAGAGCTCTTTGGTGTGGATGTCCAGGAAATCACCTACAGAACCCTCAGGTTTGTGGGGCCTCGCGCTCCGTCCATCCCGATCATCACAGCAGCCCTTTATCTTTGAACTTGGATGCCAAATATCGACTCTCCGTGTGTCATTGGTGCTTCTATAGGAACCGTGACTTCCAGGAGGTGACACTGGAGCGAGACGGGGAGATGCTGCTGCAATTTGCTGCAGTCTACGGTTTCAGGAATATCCAGACCCTGGTGCATCGAATGAGAAAGGGACGCGTGCCTTACCAGCTGGTGGAGGTGCTGTCCTGCCCAGGAGGTACATAGCCACACCTCTATTATTCCATGGGTATACTGAAATAAAGCATGTTTAGAAAGCACAGAGTAATAAGCCTCTGTGTTTACCCTCAGGGTGCCTTAGCGGCCGAGGTCAGACGGAGAGTGAGACAGCAGGCCGGATAGATAAAGCCCTGGTCCAGCAGATGGAGGAGGTATACAGCAGCCTACCGGTCCGACTACCAGAGCTCAACCCCATCTTGAAAACTCTCTATCTGGACTGGCTGCAGGGTCAGGACTCTGCACAGGCCAACAAGTTGCTGCACACAGAGTACAGAAACCAGAGCCATACGCAACCGCCACACATGCAGTGGTGAGACTGAATCACTGTTCTCCTTTTTAAAACATGGACCACCTCCAATTTAGAGAACAAACTTTGGACCAAAGCAAGTGATGACTTTTGGCCATTTGTCCTTTTAGCCACAAGGGGGTGCTGTTGGTTTTCAGACAGTGAATTCTTTCATGGACTTGAACCTCGTGGACAGGCTCCAGAGTCCCGAACTAACACAACTGCTATTGAAGTCAGTCAGCTATGATAAATGCTTATAGAAAATTCTTAGTCATGTGATCCCAGTCCTCCGAAGTGATGGCAAGAGTGGAATGCGCAAAGCAAAAAGTCCCTGAGATAATGCATCGGAAGCTTTTATAACATCTAGAGTGCACATACCTGTCGATGTCAAAGGCACATGTGAGGAGCTCAATATGTCAGTTCAAAATGAAAGTGCCAGTTTTACCTTTCATTAAAGCTGTGTCCGCCATTCCTTCCTGAAATGTCTGACAGAGGCCCCCCATACAAAAACACACACATAACTATGCAACAATCACAGTGAGCCGTGCTTTGGATGATTATTTCCAGTGCTGTGTGTGGATTTTCTTTACACCGTCTTTATCCTCAATTAAAGTTGTATCCACACGCTACTTTTTTCTCAACGTTCTGTACATTTCTTGTCAATTTTACAAGATCAAGTTACAAATGTACAGCTCTAAAATATTCTGACAAATGAGTGGAGCGTCTCATTTCTGCAATGGTGAATCATGGACTGTGTTATGCTGTGTCTGAAAGAGTGGTCATTGTTTAAAAGAGCTTTCTAGGGCCAGTTGAGCAGTCTGCTGGTTTTCCAGTTTGTGGACCTTTTTTAAGGACAGAACATCAACATTGAGTGAAGTCAACCATCCTGAGGAATGAGATCCCATCGGTGGGCTGGCACAGATCTCCTACTAGGTTTTTATTAAGGTTTTTTATATAGAAACAAAATACAAATTAAAGAAATGTGCAGCATTGTTTTTCTGGATTATACAAAGCTTTCCCCTTGCTCTGAAACCTGTATATTCCTCACCTCATTCATTCCAAATGTGCAAATAAATCGACATTATCAGCATCCCCCACATACCGGCAGAGATGTGGGCCGAATGTGGCATCCTTGGTTTCCAAAAAGGTTTCAGGTGGAGTACAGTCAAGTTTTTATTTTTTATTTTTTTTTATTTCCCTAAAAAATTATGTGCTGAGTCATCGCAATTTTACTCAAAATCAACAAATGCATCATTCTGAAATTGTTGATTTATCTCGTGAAGAATAATGAAGTGAGAGACTAATGCCGCTTTTCCACTTATCCCAACTCAGCTCTACCCAGTATCTTTGCATTTCCACTATAGGGCCGACCCCACTAAACAGTTACAACAATAGAAACGATTTCGCTGGGATTCCATCAGTCAGGCCGAGTGCCAATTGGGCAGGGAATAACATTACATACAGACTCCGTCAGTTAAGCCCATGCCCATTTTAGAATGGGCATGAGCAAAGAATTTACAGTTGATTTATTTCTGTCATCATAAATGTTTTTAAGGTTTAGACGGTGTATAGTGGTCTCGACGTCTGTGCTTGTGTCGCATATAAATTAATGGTGCTCTTTTAGTACCCAATCATGCAACTGAGTGTAGAATATTTTTTTTTGCCATTTCCAAGTTGAAGATTTAATCAAGTAGTACTGAAACTTGTTCTGTTTACTCTCACCTTAAATGTCTTGTTAATGTTCAATGGAATAAGCATACTGTATAGTAGTGCTGGTAACAGCAAGCCAGCATGTAATTTGAACACATTTTTTCAAACTGCAGCCTAACACTTGACAGGTTCAAAGGTGGATAGGAAGCATGGCAGTGGAATTAACTCCCCTTATCCCCAGCAGTCAATCCTGGGATGCCTTTTGTTCAATTTGTATGTGCTCCCATTTGGCCTGCTAATGCCATGGGAATGCCATGATATGTCAGCTCAAACCATCACTGATCCACCTCCATGCTTCACTCTGGGCATGCAACAGTCTGGGTGGTACGATTCTTTGGGGCTTCTTCACACCGTAACTCTCTCGGATGTGGGGAAAACAGTAAAGGCGGACTCATCAGAGATTCATTGTATTGCTGTATTGAACAGATTAGTTTGGATGCAGAACAACTTTCTCCAGTTAAAGTCAGACAAAACTAAAATCTTTGTCTGTAGCCCACAGAAACAAAGAGAAAGTGTCATCAGTCACCTTCAGCCTCTATCTTTGGAACCCAAAAATCAGGTCGGAATCTTCTGGTAATACAGACTCTGAGAGCCCCAGGTAGTGGCCTCCCGCTGGTGCCCCGAGTCAGAAACAAACAAGGTGAGGCTGTGTTTCAGTTTTATGTTCCTAAAATCTGGAAACGGCCTTCCTGGGGAGGTGAGACAAGCCTCAACTCTGACAATGTTTAAATCCAGGCTGAAAATGGTTCTCTTTAACTGTGCATTTGATAACTGAATGTATTTTTATCTGCACTCTTCACTTTTAATCACTATTATTTAGTTGAACTTGATTCATCTTCTGCTTTTCATCTCTTTGTAAAGCACTTTGAAATGTATTTTACCCAAAATGTGCTATACAAATAAACTTGCCTTACCTTATTGAGCAACCTCTCCTTCTGGCCCTCTTTGTCTTCTCACATTCCTCTGATCTGTATGAGAGTTTAATTTTCCCAACAGAAAAAAAAAATCCCAACACATTCTGGCATGACAGCATTTATAAGGCAACCTGTCCTTTTTTTTCAGTTCATCCACTGACTTCAAGGGGAAAGTCTTGTTCAAGTAAGTCATCTTGACTTTCTGTGCATATATCCACACAGACTCTTAGCCTTTCCCCATTGTTTTTTTTTTTAACAGCACATGAATCTTTATGTATAATTTGCAGTTTTATTCTGGCCTGCAGAATATCCTGTTTGTGGGGTGCTGGCAGGTACGCAGCTCAATAATTAGGTTTCTTTATACAACAATGGGAGGTAGTTAGGTATTTTAGACCTATTCACACATTTAGGGGGAACTGTTTAGGCCTTATTTTATGTTTTTTTGTCATGGATGGAATATAAGTGATTGGAAGTTAATGAAGTCACGATGAAAACATACTAGATTTTCTGTTACTGAATCATCTCTCTGGAGAAGGTAGTGTAATTCATTGATGTATAAATGTAGAAAAAGAGAAAATATCATAGCTTTAGAAGCCAAAACCATACTGGCCAAAATTGTACAAAAAACAAAGCAGTTAGGGATCAAAGCAATGTTGCAGGAACATGATGAGCTAAATTTAAATGGATCTATGTCCTCGGCACTCTTACCAAAAGTTCCATCTTTTTGCCTATTTTTTACCCTATTCAACAAAAAAAATTCTCATGTTAAGCTGCTCTTATTCTTGTGTTTTTCAATTTCACGCATCAGATGCAGAATAAACTGGGATTCAAAATCAGAACAAATTTATATAAATATATGTAACCAGGTGAATGTGGTGTACAAGGGTTACAAAGGGGTTTTCTCCTTAAAAAGTGGAATGCATGTTGACTTGTAGGATTAGTTATGTAGTAGCGTTTAGAGGGGAGATGTGCGTGTTGATGGCCACGTGTGTGTGTCTTGGAGTCTAGGCCACACACTGGAGGGAAAGTGAGTTCATTTAATGTTTGTCTGAGAATTGTTTCTGTATTGTAAGAGAATGTTTTGTTATGAATGTATTTTTACATTTCTCATGGAATTCAATTATTTTAATTTGACGTGACTACGAGTGGTGTGGCTTAAGAAATGTTTTTATTTCCTTTATTTAAGAAAGTGCCACTACTGTTGTCTAGAGTTAGCTAAGGACTGAAGTTCAGTTTAATACAGTTGAGCAGTCTGAGTTTGGGCATAGTTACTTTAGTTGGGGGTACCCTACATACACTATTTTTTATCAAGTGCTAAAGGGAACTGTTAGAGCTGAAGGTTGATAACAAATAAGGAAATGAGGAAGAATAATCATTTTGTATTCTTGTCATTAAAACTGTCCTAAATCCTCAAGAAAAACCAACAAACCAACACCGTATTAATGCTGTTCTTTATAAAGCTCAGTCGGGGAATAAACACCCACAAAATAAAACGTCGTATTTGTGTTCGGTCTCATCATTCTTGACCAGGCCACATATATAATGTATAAACTCACAATAATTTAAATTTAAGAATTGCATGACAGTTATTCTGCTCTAATAAAATCTTAATTTTTGTCCTCTGCCTTGATCTATACCATATATTTTGCATCATCACATAAACACACACACTCAGATGCATAGATAGATAGATTGATTGCTTCATTCATGATCAGGAACATATTCCCCATGCTTTTCTTACAGTGGCTCTCTTGTCCTGTGGTTTTGATCATCAGGAACCACCGTTTTGTTACTTCTTTTCTCTTTGCTTGTGATAATTATATGCCTGGTTTCTGTAATGTAGTGACTCTAGAACTGAGTTTGTTTTTGTTTTCATCACTAATTCTCCTGTCATTTCAGATCTGGCCCTTCCCTGTCATGCAATCACTCATTCCCATGCCTTTACTACTGATCTCCTGGTTTTGACCCTGCCTGTTTGTGGACTAAGTAAACAGATTTTCCCTACTCCTTGCCTGCTTGCCTTGTCGTGCTTTCGGGTTTTCTATTGCCTGGACCAGTGGTCGTGACAGTTTCCTACAAAGGCCAAAGGAATGTTTTTCGTTAAGTTACCGCAGATGTGATGGCTGGTTATTGCCTGAACATGAATACAGGACATGAAAAACAGGAACAAAAAGCAGAGAACCAAACATGACTTTAGACAGTCTAATACAAGAGCATAAAATTCTAATTCCCAAAGACTAAATACTGAAAGGACATTACTTATTCATCTCATGGATCAAGGGTGTAGGTGACCTCTCTTTATCTTGACAAATAGAGCTGTCAATAGCAAGGACTTCTACATCTTTGACAAAAGGCAACACCAAAACACACCCACACACTGGCAATGTAGTCAGAAGAGTTAGCACACTCATTTCCTTTGTACACAACACACCCGTCAGTCTGGCAGTTGCATATGGGCGTGCATGTGCACTATAGGTGACAGCCCGCTTGTAACCAAGGTTGAGGGATGAAAGCTCAATGGTGGAGCTGCGTGTTGGGGTTGCTCTGCATGCCTGCAGAGGTAATGCTCGACAACTGGGCCGGTGAGTGTCTTTGTGTGTGATAGAAGGATTAATAGGATCAGAAAAAGAAGACAGCATATACCCTGAAAAAAAGAATCAGTCTGAGCCATCTTTTCCTGTTTGATTGTAGCTTCATCCTGTTTCAAGGTTCTTAGCTTTTTTTTTCAAGACAGTAAAAAACGCTTCTTTAAATAAAGAATTAAAGTATTTTTGCTGCAAATATATACCCATCAGCCATACTATTGCAATATTTAGAAAAAAAAAACATCAAAAGATTTAGTGTTGCATTTAAAGCTAAAGCTCAGTTCTTTTTAAAGCTGCCATTATGCTTATATAGGTAAGTGGTTATTGAATATTCCAACCCTTCTATATCCAAGAAAATCTGACTTTTAATTGATGTTGCTTCTTTTTCATTATGAAATGTATTAAGTTCAAACTAAACAAATGTGATTATGATGGTGAGGTGTTAAACGAAAAAAGTCTCAGTGATTATTTTGTTAATTGAAAAAAATACCATCTCCATCTCTTCCTGACAGCTTCTCAACACCCGTCTACCACTTCTCATGTGCGGGTCAACTCATCTCTTGAAATTACATGCTCCACATCTTTATCAAAACCCATTGGACTCACCCTTCACAGGCTATTCAAGAACAACCAGAACATCGTGTACCTGCATTTTAAAAATGAAAAAAACCCCAAAATTACAACAAGTAAAATTTATAACGACAGAGTAACTGTACTTAAAGCGGAGGACAGTCTGGTCTCAGTGCAGCTGTCTTGGCTGCAATTGGACGACACAGACCTGTATTACTGCCGCTGGACTTTTCTGAATACACCTACCCTGGTCAAACTGGAAAGCAATGGCACCGTCATAATTGTCAGAGGTGAAAATAATTCCTTTGTATGTTTGCATTAAAAGAGCTCCAGCTGTATTTGCATCATTCAAATTCTCTGATCATTTCCCCCACAGAGAGTGGCCCCAAAGACCAATGCAGGGACCTCACTTTGGATCTGACTTTGATATGCCTGAGTGTGACAGCACTTACTGTAACTGCATTCCTATTTATCGGTGCGCTGATCCTCAAGTGCAACAAAGTAAGTATGAAAATCATTTTTGCTTTAGCCTTATTGTGTTATAATGCACAAGCAGATAAACCAAGAAAGTGTTCAAACAAGGTTTTTATTTCGGTGTTGCTACAGTTTAAAGAGCACTTCAAACCAGCCAGAGCTCTGACACCTCCCAGACCTGAAAGACCTCAGCTCCTCTGTGGTTGTCAGCAACCCCAGTACCGTCCGTACTTAATGACATGAAGATCTTTATCATCAACCTTTCACTGCTTGCAATGCTGCCTGTCATTTCCTCGTATATACAAATGAGTGTTTTTGACTGCATAAAGTGTTTGAGGTACCACATCCTGGTTGATTTTGTGCTGTACAGGCATGAATTGTGTGATTTTTGTCAGTGAAAAAAAAAACTGCTGTGCAAGCTTTTAATGTATGGCTTTGGCTTAACAAACGTTGTTTCGGTGTTGATTTGATGTCAGAAAAATATATAAATTAACCTTGACCACACACATTTGTCTGTTTTTATTTGTGTATGACATCTATCATGTAAACTATGTTGTTCTATTGAACGTTCGGAAAAGGCTAATTTTATAACTTTTTCGAGAAGAACGGAAAAACATTTTAGAATTCGCCAACTGTAAAAACACCTTCTGGTTAACACACTAAGAAAATGACTTCGGAAAATTGCATAAAGCATACACCATGTGGTGAAAAGAAGAGCCTAACCTCGGCAGTGTTTGTGGAACTTCCGTGCCGACCTTTTCTCGTTTTGCACGGGTTACATTTGCTGTAACACAAGGTGCACCCTTAAAAATGTATTATTTTAATAACTTAACACATGTGTTAAGAGACCGAATTATACACATTAATATTCATTCTGAACCGTTTGCGCAAACACTGTCCTAACTAATAGACCACGACAGATAGCTGGAGCAGATAAACGCTTTCCACCTTGGCTTTTGATCCCATTACCATGAAGTGGCTGTCCAAAGCTCAACGCAGTTAGCTTTGCAGAGCTGGTTGGCACCATACAGCAAAACAACACCGACGGTTTAGCTAATTTAAGGTTTTCCTGTTGGTAATTTGACTTTCCTAAGGGGGTGGAACATGAACAGCATTAAATTGTTTTTTTCACAACGGAAACTGTGGACTTTTGGAAGGAGTCGACACACAAGCCCTCTTCTTAAAGGTGAGACACGGAAATTAAATAAGTATTAATTGATTATATGACGCGAATAAGCTAAAGAGCCTCTAGTTTTAAGAAATTGTGATACAATTAACAATTTTTCGGTCGGCGAAATCATTTATAAATACAAGCGTTTTAGACGTTTACTTAACATAGCCAACTCGTATAAACAACACTTACTCCAACAATACAAAATACAACCTCACGACAAACTATGGTCGTCTTTTCTTTGACATATGGTGAGAGTTGACGATATATATAATTACATGTTTGTAAAGTCATCTTCTGCCAAGACTTATCATTCCACCTAATCCCCACTTTTTTCTTTTTCTTTTCTTTTTTAGATTTGGGTGGGTGTGGAAGGTCTTTTTCATCCTCATATTGTCCAAAGGTGTGCATTGTTGGAAGTGGCCCGGCAGGTTTCTATACGGCTCAGCATATTATCAAGGTGGGTACTTCACATATGGTTATTTTGTGCTGTTATCCATTGTGGTGGGAAAAAATCCACAGAGGACATTTATTCAGTCTTGCATAGATGTGGAAAAGAAAAACTTTGCCATGTTTATCTCCAAGCTTTCATTTAATATGGGATGCAATTGATATTTATTGCATTACTTACCTTACTTAAGTGTTAAACTGTAGACTTTTTGAGAGCTAAACCTTGACTTGACCAACAACACACCTTGCTGATTTTATTTTCTCAGATATTCTATTCTTTATTTTCTGCTGTATTTGGGATAACTTTTCTGTTACCCTGTTTGAGCCAAGCTTTATCTGTCAGACAGATGGATTGACATTTAACTTCAGAATACATTGGTATACAGATTATTTCACAATGTACTCAATGATTGCAAGGTCTCAGGATCATTACTGTAAAACAAGTCAATATCATTGAGCTTCCACTTTCGTGTTTGGCAGTTGATTCCAGGTGTTAGTGCCAAACATGAGTATTTTTACAGATCTGATACATACTCCCATGTTCTTTTTACAGAGAAGAGTTTGTCCTGTAACCCCCTTCTCACAAGACATACTTGTCTAGTCTTTTTCTTATTGTACTGTCATGAACATTAGCATTTAACATGCAAACTGAAGTCTGTTGAGTCTGAGATGTAGGTCTTACTGTAGGTTTTTACCTGACCTTTTGGTGAGCAAACTTTTAGATCCACTAATAGGAAGATTTTCCAGAGTTTTTAAGGTTTCCTTTTCTGAATAATAATATTTGATGAAAATTACATTTTTAAAAACGTATATGTCTTTTAAAGTGGTCTTACAGAATAGTTCCCCAACCAGTTAAAACTAACCCGTGAAGAATTCCATCCAAAGAAGATCTTTGGGATGTCCTTCAAGAATTTTGGAAGACGGGTACTGGAGACCAGTTAAATAAATTACAAATTTTGTCTAAGAGGATTCAGACAAGTTGGAGAAGGGGCTCACACCAAATACTGACTTTAAGATCTTTAGAATTGTAAAAACTTGTTTTTTGCCTTCTGTACATGTAAGGATGTCAGAATACAACACATGTAAGACGTATACTAAACTTCCAGTCCAGAGTACTTTTTACAAATCAGCAGGCCTATTGAATGTGTTACAAATTTAAAGGCGAAGGTTGTTATTAGCAGTTCCTTCAGAACCACAAAAGAAAAAAACATAGTAAATATTGCATCTGATGTGTTGCACAAATCCATTTAACTAGTTAAAGAGGGTAATTAAAGACATTTTAGCATACGCTGTAAACTGTTTCTCAACTTCAGAAAATAAAAGGGCAGAGTCATTCAATCTTTTAATGGCCTTTTGAAAAGCAGCCCCAACCAGTACAAAAGCAAATAATTAGCAGATAATGCTGAGATTTTTGTTAGGCACGAGCTACGTCATTGAAAGCATAAGCAGGCTCATGATAATTACTGTAACTGGGATTCTTCCATCACATGTCAGTTAACTGAACAAATTAAAATAATTTCCAATGAGACCAGCAAAAACAACAGTGGCCTCAACCAAGCAGGAATAAACCGAGATAAATTATCCTTTATTTTAAATTTTTAAACTATAATAATTAACATTATGATTATTATTTGCCATAGTTTGTTGTTTGACCTTTTAATGCCTTCAATCCAATTTTTATGAGTCATTTTAAAAATGATTTTTCTTTATTAAATCAGCACCAGTAGCGAAATCAGCACAGCGTTTCATTTTTTGATATTATTTGTGGGATTCCTCTGTTACTCCAACAATTAAACCAAGTCCTCACCCATCATTATTATTTCATTCTGTTCTTGAACGAATCTGCATGCATCTCAGTAAGAAATGTTAAAATATGGAAAAGTTACTAGTTTGGACTTTGAAAGATTGCTAATTTTCAGAAAGTAGTTCCATAAGCTGACAGATGGCCAGTACAGGAAATAATTAGCAAGATGTTAAGATTTGAATCAACAGACACAATTTAGAAAAGCTGACCACTCTATACTTCCATTGTATTCAGTAAAAATAAAAGAGTGTTTGAGTTGATGCCAGGAACATATGCAATTTAAGTGAAAAGGAGTCATGTTAATTTATATCTTGCATAATTAGAAAATCAAATTCTTCTTTCTTCCTCTCAGTGTGGAAACTGATAGGGAGTCTGAGTTGTCCTGATTGTTTGCAATAACATGTAACCATATAAGGTTTCAGCTGCTCGACAATCTTTGGTTTGAATGCCAACCTGTCCAGAAAAACTATTGTAAAAAGCTGTGTTGTCTCAGATTGTTGGTATGAGCCTTTTCCCTGCCTGTCTCTCAATTTTTGTTTTGGGTGTGCTGTTGCATCATATTTTAAATTTGTTCATATTTTCTAAATTTGATGAGATGTTTATTAAAAAAAAAGTGACATTAACTTTTAGCCTCTGGAAATGGGCGCTGTATATAATTTATTTGTTAGTTGAGTAATAAGCCAAAATAAACATTATTTTCTCCCTGTTTATATTTCTTATTTTGTTTTTTCCCACTCAGGCTCGGCAAGATGTTGAAGTTGACATTTATGAGCGACTGCCTGTTCCTTTTGGCTTGGTCAGGTTTGGAGTGGCTCCAGATCACCCTGAAGTAAAGGTATCTGCTCCCGCAGCTAGTTATCATACAGCCAACTCTTAATTTTTACTATTGCCTCAGAGAGAGCCGATTTAAATTTACAAATCTTCTTTCTTTCTTTTGTTTTTGAGAATTGTCCAATTTGTCCATTTGACAAGCACTTAATGCTTCTGTACGCATTACTGTGAGTATAATTAAAGGAAAACAGAACATTTGAACAAGTCAAAATTGTTTTGACTTTTCAGTTTTAATGATTATATAAAAACTGTCTGGCATCGATGACTGAGAAAAGAAGAATAAAAATAGAAAGTAAACCTGCCAGAAAGTAAACCAGGCTATGATGAGTAAGCAGCTGTGGTTAAGAATGCAAGAAAAGAACATTTCCACTGTAATAATGAGGAGCCTCTAATTATGCCTATTAAATGTGAAAGTTCCATCAAAACTTTCGAATGGTTTTCACTCAGCTTTGGGCTATTTTACATTCAAAACATTTCTGCACAAGTGTTTTTAATAAGGTCATGTTCTTCAGTTTTATGCAACAGATATGGTTTATCACTACACTGCGAGCTACACATCTCTGCATCACTTCAGTTCATTAACTGTAAACACATCAAAAATTAAACACATCCAACACTATAAACCTTTACCAGAGGCCAAAAGACTCCAGAGAAACTGCTTCCATTTGCCTCAGTGTTTCAGTTGGATTTGTTCTTTTGATTTGCCCACGCACCCAGTACTGTTTTTGGTTCTTAGGGTTTCAATAAAGTGCGGTGGATGATGTGCACTGGTAATTAAAATGTCATAACCCCTCACTTACTGTTAATGTGACTATTCCTGTCTGGATCAAAATAGTTTTCTTGCATTAAAGGAAAATATGAACTTTGAAAAAACGAGCAGTGCCAGTAACAGTGTCATGCTTATGTGTTCTAAAATATATTGAAAACTTTGAGATAGATTTCCTAGTTTTTTTGTTTTGTTTTGTTTTTTTCGTTGCAACTTTATAGGCCTAATTATGTGCTCTTGGATATAGAAAAGGTTCAAGATTGTTCATGATATACCGCCATTCTACAAGCAAACGGCCTCAAATTTGCACATTTTAAGTTCACATATGAAAGGTTGTGCTATTCCAGGAGATTTCCTTTTATGTTCAGAAGGTGTTGGTTACCATGTCATAAAACTACAATGGCAATAGGACAACAAGCATAAACACATAGAAGCATGATTGTCAGTAAACAAGAAATTAACTTGGGTTTTCTACCATCAAATGTGAAACTGATGCATGTTCGAAGGATGGCTCTGAAAGAGCCTCGGCTAACAGGAGACTCCTGTTCATTGTGATATAATTCAGCACTGTAAGAACTGAATTTTTTTTTTTTAAGTCTGTTTTTACTTGCACTGAATTGACAGTTTTTTCCAGAATGTCATCAACACGTTCACACAGACAGCCAAGCATTTGCGTTGCAGTTTCTACGGCAACGTGAATGTGGGGATGGATGTGAGTGTCAGTGAGCTGCAGCAAGCCTACCATGCTGTTGTTCTGGTGAGGAGGCCAGATAATTCTATCTCAAAATCACTGTCTTGTACTTTATCTCGGATGTTGCTTTTAGTGTCTGTATATATCGTGACAGAGTTATGGGGCTGGGGGAAACAGATGTATTGGTGTGCCGGGCGAAGACTTGGCTGGCGTATATTCTGCCAAAGACTTTGTCGGCTGGTATAATGGGTTACCCAGCTGTCAAGAGGTATGCCATAACAGTTTCTAGAAAAAGGCACATTGCACATGTGGTTTGTCAGTAACAGCTTCTTCTATTACTGACAAGCTTGATTCTTTCATTATTCAGCTGAGTCCTGACCTGAGTTCTGACACCGCCGTCATCCTCGGACAAGGCAATGTGGCCTTGGATGTTGCAAGAATCCTCCTATCCCCTCTTGACATTTTAAAGGTGAGAGATGTATAGGCATGTGAATGGAAAAAAGATAAGTGTAGCTATAGCTTGATAAGAATGAACGGATACGCTGCTTGTGAAATTGAAGGGGAGCCAGCCACTTAACAGCTAAATGAAATCTGAGATAATAAAAACAAGGAATCAATTCAAGGAACTAGACAACAAACATCAAAAAGAGATTAAAGAAAAATCTGTGTTGTTTTATCCAGATACAGGGGTTCGACAATGAAACTGAAACACCTCTCATTTTAGTGTGGGAGGTTTCATGGCTAAATTGGACCAGCCTGGTGGCCAATCTTCATTAATTGCACATTGAACCAATAAGAGCAGACTGTGAAGGTCCAATTAGCATGGTAAGAGCACAGTTTTGCTCAGAATATTGCAATGCACACAGCATTATGGGTGACATACCAGAGTTGAAAGGAGGACCAATTGTTGGTGCACGTCTTGCTGGCGCATCTGTGACCAAGACAGCAAGTCTTTGTGATGTATCAAGAGCCACGGTATCCAGGGTAATGTCAGCATACCACCAAGAAGGACGAACCACATCCAACAGGATTAACGGTGGACGCAAGAGGAAGCTGTTTGAAAGGGATGTAGGGGTGCTAACCCGGATTGTATTAAAAAAACATAAAACCACGGCTGCCCAAATCAATGCAGAATTAAATGTGCACCTCAACTCTCCTGTTCCCACCAAAACTGTCCATCGGGAGCTCCACAGGGTCAATATACACGGCCGGGCTGCTATAGCCAAACCTTTGGTCCCTCGTGCCAATGCCAATCGTCAGGTTCAATTGTGCAAGGAGCGCAAATTTTGGTATGTGGACAATGTGAAACATGTATTGTTTTCTGATGAGTCTGCCTTTACTGTTTTCACCACATCCGGGAGAGTTACGGTGTGAGAAGCCCCAAAGAAGCGTACCACCCAGACTGTTGCATGGCCAGAGTGAAGCATGGGGGTGGATCACTGACGGTTTGGGCTGCCATATCATGGCATTCCCTTGGCCCCATACTTGTGCTAGATGGGCACGTCACTGCCAAGGACTACTGAACCATTCTGGAGGACCATGTGCATCCAATGGTTCAAACATTGTATCCTGAAGGAGGTGCCGTGTATCAGGATGACTATGCACCAATACACACAGCAAGACTGGTGAAAGATTGGTTTGATGAACATGAAAGTGAAGTTGAACATCTCCCATGGCCTGCACAGTCACCAGATCTCAATATTATTGAGCCACTTTGGGGTGTTTTGGAGGAGCAAATCAGGAAACATTTTCCTCCACCTGCATCACGTCGTGACCTGGCCACTATCCTGCAAGAAAAATGGATTAAAATCCCTCTGACCACTGTGCAGCACTTGTATATGTCATTCCCAAGACGAATTAACGCTGTATTGGCCGCAAATGGAGGCCCTACACCATACTAATGAAGTATTGTTGTCCAAAACCAGGTGTTTCAGTTTCATTGTCCTATCCCTGTATCTCTGCTATGTTTTTAGATTTCAAATATCATCCTTGGATTTTATGATAGATTTATTTCATGGAATCGCCTCCTTTATTTGTCCCCTAAGGCTTGTGTCCACACTAATGATGTTTATTCTGATTATTTTGCCCTTGAATGGGAATGTCGCCTTCGCTATCGAGCCCCTATCTATTTCATTAAAATCTATAATCTATCATCTATAAATTATCGCTGTATGCGGAAGATTTGTTATTGTATATGACTGATCCCGCACATTTTATCCCTGCTGTTTTAGGTAACGTTCTCAGGTTATTAATTAAATATGGGGAAATGGGACTGTTTCCCCATTAACACCACAACATGTGGTATTCAGCAGTCGGATTTACCTTTTGAATTTAGTCCGTTGGGTTTTAAATACCTTGATATTAATGTGACTTGTTCCTTATCTGGCCTTGCATCTGCTAATTCCACTCCCCTTATCTCAAAGATAACATCTAACATTAAAAAATGACCTCCCCTTTCATTACTTGGCAAGATCAGTGTTGTTAAAATTAATATTTTACCCAAATTCTTTCTCTTATTCCAGTCAATTCCTCTTTTTCTGCCAAAACATTTCTTTGACTCATGGGATAAGATAAGTTGTTCTTTTATTTGGGATGGAAAACTGCCTAGGGTTCGTAAAACCTTGGAAAGATGCAAACTGAATCGAGGACTTGCATTACTTAACTTTCTCACTTAATATTGGGCTGTTCACATCCACAAACTTTGCTACTGGTTAAAATCTCCTGGATCATCTTGGTGTTCAATTGGAACTTTCATCCTGTAAGGGATCTTCTATACCTTCTCTACTCTATTCCTCTTTACCCACAAAACCCTCTCCATATACTGATAATCAATTGGTTCATAATACACTTCAAATCTGGTATCAATTTAGATGGCACTTCAAATTTGTTACAGCATCCTCCTTGGGTCATTTATATAACAACCATTTATTTCCTCCATCACTCTTAACAAAATTTATTGTGTGGTATGGCAAGGGTCTTATACAAATCAGACATTCATATGTAGATGGTGTCTTTGATAGTTTTGCCAATCTGTCTTCTCGCTATGACCTCCCCACTAATCTGTTTCGCTATTTTCAAACTCGCAATTTTGTGGCCAAATGTTTCCCTAATTTTCCCTCTATACCTTCAGAACAGGGGTAGGAAATAACGCTTTCATTTGTGCCTCATCACAGAGGAATAATTTCTAAGCTGTATGGCATTATCTTAGCTTTTAGCAGCCACTCCAATGCTAAACTTCGGAATCTGAACTGGGACTACAAATTCATGATGACTACTGGGAACAAGCCATACAGAGGATACGATCTACCACCTCTTGTGCTTGTCTTGAACTTATTCAATTTAAAGTTCAATTCAATTTTCAATTCAATTTTATTCATATAGCGCCACATCACAACAACAGTTGTCTCACAGCGCTTTCCAAACAGAGCAGGTCAGACCCTACTCTGAAGTTAATTACAGGAACCCAACAATTCCCACCATGAGCAAGCACTAGGCGACACAGGCAAGGAAAAACTTCCTTTTAACAGGCAGAAACCTCGAGCAGAACCATGGCTCAGGGTGAGCGGCCATCTGCCTCGGCCGGTTTGGGGTGATGGAAAGTCTCAAACAAGGTGCATTTTTCCTATCTGAATTGTATCCGGCAGTGGACGATAAATCTGATAAATGTCATGGCTCTCCCTGTCACCTTAGCCACATGTTTTTTCTTTGCCCTGATCTGAGATGTTTTTGAGCGGGTTATTTTACTATCATGTCCTCTGTTCTTGGGTTGAATCTTCAACCTTGCCCTCTCATTGCCATATTTGGGATCTCTCACTCCTTACTCGTACTTAACCCTACACAGAGGGACGTTATAGCTTTCACATCCTTGCTAGCAAGACGTTCCTTATTGTTACATTGGAAGTCGGCCAAATATCCCTCTGTCTCCCGATGGCTCAAAGACGTCATGTTTTTCCTAAAACTTGAGAAAAAAATACACGTTGAGGATGCACAGTCAAATTTTTCCACAAATGGCAACCCTTTATTTTCCTATTTCACTAAGCTAGAGGTACTACCCAATTGACTGTGTGCATGTTACTGTTGTAGCTTTTTATTTTGCATAAGCAACCATATGTGTGTTGGTCGTGTTGAGCTGGGTGTTTATTGTTCTTTACATGGTACTCTGTAATTTCAATTAATTTTATTTTTCTTTTTTTTCCCCCCTATCTTTTGGTTATTGTTTCTATGTGTTCTTAGAAATCCGTGCTCTTATGCACATATGTAAACAAAACAAAAAAAGGTCAAAAGTAAACTGAATTTCTGTGACTGGAATTATTTTATTGTGTTTTTCCTAATAAAATATTTTGGGAAAAATATATATCATCCAAACGCATACAGTCCTGCTCACCATTATTGGCACCCCTTCATGTTTAGCATAGCTGAGTGAATATCTTCAGAAATAAATGGAAATGTTCAAAACTTAAATCAGCAGTATCTTTCAATTTGAGGTCCAAAGTAATTTAACAAAGACAATTGCCATTTCAACATAAATATTTTAATTGCAAAGGACAAAACAGAAAACCAGCATGTGCACTAATATTGACCCCTCCTTAATATTTGGTTGCACAGCCTTTGGCAGCAATGACAGCCTCCAAACGTTTCTTATATTCATCTATAAGCTTCTTGCACTTCTCGGGTGGCATTTTCTCCCACACTTCTTTTGCAATATGCTCAAGCTCTTGTACATTTGCAGGGTTCCTTTCTCCAATGGCAGATTTCAGCACCCTCCAAAGATTCTCAATTGGATTGAGATCTGGACTCATTGCTGGCCATTTTAAAACAGTCCATTTTTTCCCTTTCAACCATGCCTGCGTGTTTTTGGAGGTGTGCTTTGGGTCATTATCATGCTGGAGGACCCAGGATCTTCGCCTCAAACCAAGTTTTCTTACACTGGGCAAGACATTTCGCTCTAGAATTGCTTGATAATCTTCTGATTTCATGATACCTGTGATACGGTCAAGCCCTCCAGTACCAGATGCCGCAAAGCAGCCCCACAGCATTATGGATCCTCCACCATGCTTGACTGTTGGTATGGTGTTCTTTTCTTTAAAGGCTTCATTGCGCCGCCTGTAAACATAATGTTTGTGTGAATTACCAAAAAGCTCCACTTTTGTTTCATCTGTCTATAAAACGTTGTCCCAGAAGGCTTGAGGTTTGTCCAGGTTCTCTTTTGCGAAGGTCAAGCATTCTTTTTTATGTCTTTTCTTCAGCAATGGGGTCTTCCTTGGCCTCCGCCCATAAAGCCCCACTTTGTTTAGTGTGCGCCGTATAGTACTTGTTGAAACAATCACACCAGACTACTCCAGGTTGGTCTTTAGGTCTTTAGATGTTTGACGTGGTGTTTTTTCCACCATTCGCACCAACCGTCGAAGACTTCTGTCATCAATTTTTCTCTTCCCCCCACGTCCAGGGAGGTTCTTGACCGTTCCATGCCTGGAAAACTTCTTAATAACATTACGCACCGTTGAAACAGGGATACCGAGGTCTTTGGAGATGGCTTTATACCCTTTGGAGGTCTTGTGCCTACAAATAATAGCATTTCTGGTGTCCTCAGTCAGCTCCTTTGTCTTTACCATTGTCACATGTGAAAATGGACTAACAGGTGGCTTCTAAAGTACCAACATGATCATTCATTGGTTAATTCATGTCACATGTGTGGAGGCAGTTCATCGCAAGTGATCTTTATTTGTGATTTGCAACAGGTGAGCCAAATTGGGTTTTCATACTGATTTGCTGCAAAGGGTGCCAATACCATTGACATGGTAAACATTATGTTTTTCTTTGTTTTCCTCATAATGTTTATCTTTTTAAATGTTTTTTATCATCTGCTGTTTTGCATTGAGCACAAGCTATCAGCAGTAAAATGTTGTTTCACTTGATGAATTTCCTTCAGAAAATATTCCACTATATGTACTTAAACTTCATGGGTGCCAATAATGGTGAGCAGGACTGTAACAACATAATCTCCCTTGCTGTAACTCATATGTGAGGTGTACTTTGGATGAAATCTATGAGGAGTGATTAAACACACTGCAAAAGTCAGTTAGTTGTTCAACTCTGAGGTTGTCTCTGAGAAAGGGCATAAATTCAATTCAATTCAATTTTATTTATATAGCGCCACATCACAACAACAGTTGTCTCACAGCGCTTTCCAAACAGAGCAGGTCAGACCCTACTCTGAAGTTAATTACAGAAACCCAACAATTCCCACCATGAGCAAGCACTAGGCGACACAGACAAGGAAAAACTTCCTTTTAACAGGCAGAAACATCGAGCATCGAGCTGAAACATTCTCCCATCTGTATGCAGAAAACGGACATCACCCAGCCGGCTCTGGAAGCTTTGGCAGAGAGCCGGGTTCGCAGGGTGTTGATTGTCGGCAGGAGGGGACCCATGCAGGTCGCATGCACAATCAAGGTGTGAGTCTCAGAACAAAGAGAGACAGGCGTTATTGGGCAAACCACTGAGCTGTTATCCGATGATATCTGCTCACTGCTGTCTATAAATCCCATTATTTAGTTTCTTATGCGTAAAGTTGATTTTCTTCAATCCTCACATTCAACATTTGTTTCATCCCATCAGGCACAACACAGTGGTGGAAATAAGTTAAAGTCGGTATTTGTTTGTTTACTATTCCTGTTATGCCAACTCATAAAGGGTCCTGAGCAAATTTTATCACTGATCTGGTATTCTAATGAATAAATCAGTTGGATTTTTTTAGCATTAAAAAATTATTAGATTAGCACACTCCAATAAAATAGTTGCCCCACAAAAAGACCTGCCTGTTAGTTTCAACTAAATGTCCCATCATTATGGAAATAAACAATATTATTGACACAAATCTAGAGATTCCTGGCATTGCAGCAAGTGTCGCTATAGTGAGACAATACACGGCCATTAAGTCATCAAACTTCTTCCGTTCATCTACAGGAGCTCAGAGAGATGGTGAACCTACCCGGAACCCGACCTGAGATGGTGGCAGCTGATTTTCAAGGCGTCACAGAAGCTCTTAAAGGTCAGAACCATGTGAAGTTCTCACCAGTCTGACCAGGCATTTTAACATCTGAGGATAGGAGTCTGAATGGGGACTAAGTTGCTAAAAGACACACAAAGACACACATTGAGATTTAGGGTTTAAAAGAAGTCAGGAACTGACTCATGCAAAGACCTGTGAACTGTGCACGGAATGAAGAAACATGTTGCGGTTAACAGCTGAGGCATACGGGTGAGAGAACCTATAGCACTTATATGGTTTGCCCATATGCAGCGAGGTGAGTCGAAAATGCTGCAGACGTACATTAGTCAAACTCCAAGTACTGAGGGTTTTAGTGTTGTTCACCACACATCATTCTGCTGACTTTCTGTCCTTGCTAGAGCGGCGACATTGAGTTGATTAATGTCACAAGTCATTTCAAGGCTTTCTACTGAGTAATCACGACATTTTAGGAGATAATTATTCCTGTGATTTTTATCTGAAGCAATCTGTGCTGCGGTGGTGTTGAGTTTGTGGTCACAGCTACACGTAAAAGAAATACAGTTACAGGAAATGTGTGAGGAAGTGCACATTATTGCATTATTTGCATTATTATATTGCATTTTTTTGGCATTTCAGGGTTACTGTAACAGACATGTTATTTGTTTGCATGCACACATCGCCACAGACATGAAGAAAACCTTTTTTTTTTTATTGCACAGGGTCTGATTAAGTAATGAAACTGTTATTCAAACAAACCATTTAAACAAGTGATTTTGTTAGAAATATCTGACATAATCTATGGACCATGACAGGTCTTTGATAGATTTTTTATGATATATTTGGCCCATTTGGTCAGTTTTCTATTCCTTGTCATTTTACGTTAAGGAAAAATCGGTGTGGCTACATATGGGTCAAGAGGGTATAATTAAATATCATATGTGGTATTTTAGGAGGGGGAATAAAAGGGTGATTTATATGTCAGGTTTGCCGAGGCCCCGGAAACGGCTCACAGAGTTGATGCTGAAGACAGCTCTGGAGGTTCCTGGTGAAACGGAGCAGGAGAGACGGAGAAATGCCTCCCGCAGCTGGGGTTTCAGGTTCTTCCGGAGCCCTGTTGAAGTTTTGGCAGAGCCCAACCACAACAGGGTAGCTGGCATCCGACTGGCTGTTAACCAGCTGGAGGTAAATATAATTTAGATCTTAATACTCCGGAAGTGGGTGTATTAACTCATTGACTGCCAGCCATTTTCAGAAAAGAGTCCCATACTGCCAGAGTTTTTTGAGCATTTTGACAGATTTTTCAAGAGCCACAGAATAGTTTGTGCTATGACTATGTAAACACCGAACACACTAAAAGAAAGAGTAGACTCTCTTCTTTCATCAGGAAAAAAAATGTGTTTCTACCTTATTCCGTTCTTCCTCGACTTGCGTCTCACCGGCGCCATTTTTCGCATAGTGAACCATTACGTTTTTCTTATTTGCCTACAATCTATGCTCATCTCCCATCAAAAGTGGCACTGCCACCTAGAGGGTCAATTTGTTACTACATACTCTGTCTAGAAGATTATATTTACGGACAAGCTTTAGCAGAACGTCCCCCAAGGCACTCGCGTTGAAAAACATAAAAGACGTCTATAGACGTCTTTGGCAGTCAATGAGTTAATGGTGAGGCACCATGTAAAGGAGCACAGTGTTTTCATTAAACATGGCTGATCTTCCACATAAAGGGTTCAGGGGATGGAGCCCAGCCTGTGCTTACTGGAGAGATGGAGGATGTTAGCTGCGGGATGGTCATCAGCAGCATTGGGTACAAAAGCCTCCCCATTGACTCATCTGTGCCGTTTGACTCCCGTAAAGCCATCGTACCGAATTCCATGGGCCGCGTCCTACAAGCCACAGGTACTTGGGGAAAATAGTGGCAATTACAGAACAATTGGCAATTACTCAAGTATGTAACGGTGCTGATATTTGATCCATCTTTCACTTCAGCTTTGTATTGTAGTGGCTGGCTGAAAACAGGTCCCACAGGTGTGATTGCCACCACTATGAACAATAGCTTTGACACTGTAAAATCCCTGTTGGAGGACATGGACTCCGGAACACTGGATGTGTCTGCTCCAAAGACCGGTTCAGAAAGCATAAGAACTCTGCTTGATAAAAGAGGTATTTCACTTTCACTTTTTTACAAACTTTCACTAATAATCTTGGATGATGCAGACTATTTTAAATCTAACTGCCTTTCAACACTACCTGTTTAGTTTGTCTTCTGCTAAGGCTGTTTAGAACTCTGTGTACATAATGAATGCAATGAATGAATTATTTATTCATTTGAATTTAACATCTGTCTTGGCGAAAACAGCTTAAATTTAACCAGCTGCCAAATATTTAAAAACTTAAATTGATATTGAATTTCCACCGTCATAGAAAGAAAATGACAACAAAAATATGAAAAAAAGGCAAATATTAAACAAATATATACATGGTGTTTTGAAAATGTAATCACATTGATGTTTTTACGTTTCATTCAGTCATACTCTTTTCTCTGCAAGTATTTTGTTGCTACATGTCCACTAAAGCTAAGGCCAGCTGGGTTGTGTTTTTTCTTTGTGTAGGAGTAAAACTAATAACATTTTCTGACTGGGAGAAGATCGACAACATCGAGACAGCAAGGGGGGCAGCGTGTGGGAAACCCAGAGAAAAACTACTCACAGTAGAGGAAATGCTGAAAGTGGCTCGAACATGACTGAGGGGCAGTTTCCTTGTGACCCAGTATCTGCGGAAGTCTAAAATGGCAAGCGTTACAACCAAAGGGACCACAGTGACAGGAAATGGTGTAATGAAGAGCTCCACGTGGGCAGAATTCATTGGGCTTTCTTGTTCAATCCATTAGAGAGTGAGACAGAGACATTCACTATACAATCAAGCAATAAATTCTGTAGTTTCTTTAAAAATGTAAAGTTTAAAATGAATTGAGCAATGTACCTCATGTGACTCTGACTTGAAATCATGATCTTTGTGCTCTCTGACATCTCTGAAGTCTCTCACTAGCACTACAAGAAGGAGAAATGTTTCCCTGTTGCCCTCTGAGGTTTTATTGTCATTTTTGTATTAAAGTCAAATGAAAACCAATGAGAAAATGTATTTGCAGTAAAAAATCTCAATGAATGCTTTCATATTTCTGTATTGGGAGTATAATAAATACATATGAATATAAGCTTGGATTTCATGATGTGTAAATTCTTATTGAGTGGTTCAACTTTTTGCCCAAGGCATATTTGTGCAACTAATTCCTTACAAGAAATACTGCCAACAAATTCAAACTGCAGTGTTAAATGGGTGTGAGTGAAGTTTCATTAACCGTTCACGCCAGCCTATATTTAGCCTAACAGTTAAATTTGACATTATTGTGCCATGGGATGACATTTTTGTTATCTAGCGCTAGATAACAAACAAACTAGTAGAAAATGTTCGTGGCTAATGTTGAACCCCTTTCGGTGATTACTTGTAAAATGAACATTGCAAAAACTGCTCAATGTAATGAGCAATGACTATGATGAACCAATATTGTTTGACATCAGAAAAAAAGATTGAGATGTTTCAAAGTACACTGAACATGAAATTATGAACCCTTGTGCCTGGAAATATAGGATCACCCTTTAAAATATGAGATACAATTTTAGACTAGAATAGGCTGTTGAAAAAAGGTTGAAAAGACATAGAACTGAAGAGTTGAAGAAGAATGGCAAAAGGATTAAAAGAAGAGTAATGAGTAGAAGGCCACAACGTCAAACTTCAGAAGTAGGTCTGAAGTCTGACGTTTTTCAAGGATTTGAAAGACATAAACCATCAGCACAAGACAGCACTGAAATGTGGCCATAAGACAGTGAAATGTAAGAGAACATTGGCTGAAGGATATTTTTAATATAAACTGAAGAGTGGAAGTAGAATGGCAGAAGGATTAGAAGAAGAAAACTAAGTGGAAAGTAAAAGAACAATGGCTGAAGGATGCTTTCAAGAAAAACTGAAGAGTAAAAGGCCATGAAATTAAGGTACCAACATTTTTTTTTTTTTTTTTTTTTTTTTTAACTCAAGATATTTTTATTGAATTTTACATAACCAAAAAACAGAGCACAGTTATGAGATGTTACAAGGTGGGCTTGTAAAACCCAGTAAAGACAAGTTGTTCATACAAATGTTTGTTGTGTCATACAAAAGAGATATAGACTTCACAAATCAAAAAAGTGGTATGACAACTACAGTAAAACAAGTCAAGTAGTGAAGCACAAAGATATAATACAATAAAACAAAATAACCCCTTCCCCATCACCCCACCCGTCACTGCCAAAACTATATCATCACTCCACAACACTCAGGACCCGCCCAGGTAGAATCAGTGCAGTTGAGCATGTCTGAACTATTAGAGAGCTGGAAATGTTTTTAAGAAAGGACCCCACAAATTTTCAAATGTAACAAGAGACTGTTTAAGTGAGTACCTGATCTTTTCGAGTTTTAGACAAGACATGATATCTTGCAGCCACTGTGAATGGGATGGTGGGGAGGCATCTTTCCATCTGAGCAAGATTGCACGACGTGCCAAAAGTAAAGCGAAGGCTATAGGATATTTTTTAGCAGCACTTGAAACAGCTCCGCCCTCAAGGACCCCAAATAGGGCTGCAAATGGATTTGGTTCCAATTTGGTCTTAAATGTGCAAGATAGTGTATTAAAGACTGCCTTCCAGTAGTTGCTTAATTGAGGACATGAGAAGAACATATGGTAAAGAGAAGCCTCTGTAAGATTACATCTGACACACAGAGGGCTGACTGTAGGGTACATAGATGACAGCTTAGCCTTAGAAATATGGGCCCGATGTACCACCTTAAACTGGATCAACCGATGCCGAGCGCAAAATGAAGATGAGTTGACCAGCTCAAGAGCAGAGGACCAGATGTCATCAGGTATGGGTAGACCTATGTCTTTTTCCCAAGCCATCTTGGATTTATCCACAGGGGGTGTTTTAAGATCAAGCAGAATGTTGTACAGTTTAGAAATGAGACCTTTCTTTGATGGATTTAGCGACAGAATTTCATCAATGGTTTCTGTCTTTATAGTGGTTGAGAATTTGGGCAGTTGTGAAATGAAAAAGTGTCGTATCTGAAGATAGCGAAAGAAATCAGAGTTTAAAAGGGCATATTTATCTTTCAACTGCTCAAATGAGGCCATGGTATCACCTATCAGTAGGTCTCTAAAACGAATTATTCCATTTTGGTGCCATCGCTGGAAGCCTGAATCTAAAATAGACGGCTTGAAAAGATGATTTGTGGCAACAGGACTCCAAACTGAGAAACTGCCAAGGCCAAAATGTCTCCTGAACTGAGCCCAAATCTTCAATGAGTGTCTAACCACTGGATTGTTAGATGATGCAACAGAACGTAAAGGCAACGCAGAGCCAACAACAGCCAGAGGAGAGAAGTCTTTGTGTGGGCAGAGCTCTAACGCAACCCAGTCAGGACAATCAGAATGGTCATAGTAAAAGGACCAATGTACAAGATTTCTCAAGTTGGACGCCCAGTAATAGAGACGTAAATTTGGCAGTGCAAGTCCCCCTTGCTGTTTTGTTTTTTGAAGGTAGTTTTTGTTTAAACGAGGGCGCTTGCCCTGCCATACATATGAGGATATGACAGAATCCAACTGCTGAAAAAATGAGCCAGGAATAAAAATTGGTAGGGTTTGGAAAAGGTATAGGAGTTTGGGTAGTATGACCATTTTGATAGAATTTACACGTCCAACCAGAGACATTGACAAGGGTGACCACTGTAATAGTAACTGTTTAATCTGCTTTAGTAAAACAGCAAAATTTTCTTTGAATAAGTCTTTCTACTTTTTGTTAACTGTGACTCCGAGATAAGTAAACTTGTTATATTCCAATTTAAAAGTGAGATTAGTAAGATCCAAGGCCCGTGCTGCCTCGTTAATAGGGAAGAGCTCACTCTTACTGATGTTCAGCTTATAGCCTGAGAGACTACCAAAATGACTGACCAGCGCTAGGGCGGAAGGGAGCGAGTCAGTTGGATTAGAGATGTACAGCAGAAGATCATCCGCGTAAAGGGAGACCCTGTGCTCCACACCTCCTCTCCAAATACCAGATATATCGTTGCAACTGCGGAGTGCTATAGCAAGGGGTTCTATAGCCAAATTGAAGAGCATCGGACTTAAGGGGCAGCCCTGGCGGGTACCACGATACAATTTAAAAGGACTTGATATTTGAGAATTGGTACGTATCATTGCAGTGGGCTGGGAGTAAAGCAACTTGATCCATAAGTTAAAGGCAGGGCCGAAACCGAATTTGTCCAGCACAGCAAATAAGTAAGGCCATTCGACCCGATCAAATGCTTTTTCTGCGTCAATTGTAATCACACATTCAGGCCTATCTTCAGGAGCAGAGTAGAGAATGTCAAAAAGCCGTCTAATGTTGAAATAGCCCTGTCTGCCTTTGATGAAGCCAGTCTGATCTGTAGAAATAATAGTGGGAAGAATACTGTCTAGCCTATGTGCAAGGACCTTGGCTAGGATCTTAGCGTCCGTGTTTAAAAGTGAGATGGGCCTATATGATGCACAGCAAGTCGGATCTTTGCCTTTCTTCGCAATGAGTGTGATACAGGCCTCAGTAAGGGACTGAGGTAACTGACACAATTTACAAGACTCTAAGAAGACAGAGCAAAGTACCGGTGAGAGTAGCGTGGAGAATTTTTTAAAGAATTCTGTTGGGAAGCCATCTGGACCAGGACACTTGTTTGACTGCATTGACTTAATGGCTGCCGTTATTTCTGCCTGTGATATGGGCTCTTCCAGTCTCCTCCTGGACTCCACTGAAACTGTAGGAATATCAAGACCATTAAGAAAGCTAAAAATTACACTGGAATCCACATGCGCCTCCGATGAGTACAATTTGGTGTAAAATTCTTTGAAGAAAGTATTGATTTCAACCGGATCAGTTGTGATTTGACCGGAATCTGACTGTATTTTAGAAATAGCCTGCTTTGCCCTAGAGCCCTTAAGTTGGTTGGCTAATAGTTTATCAGACTTGTCTCCATAGGTATAGAACATGGTTTTATTTCTCAAGAGCAGACGTTCAACATGGTGGGTGGTAAGAAGGTCAAATCTAGTTTTTAATTCCACCCTTTTCTTGTATAGGTTTGGACACTTATTCTGGGCATATTGCTTATCGATAATTCCAATTTGGCGGACCAGCTCGTTACATTCCCTTTTTGAGTCACTCCTCATACGCGCAGTGTAAGAGATAATTTGTCCACGCAAATAGGCTTTGAGTGCATCCCACAAGGTGAGATAAGAAATTTCTGGAGTGGTATTAGTTTCGATAAAATGGATTATTTCTTTCTCAATAAACTTATTAAAGTTTGCATCTGATAAAAGAGTAGAATTGAATCGCCACTGCCTACTTCCAGGGATAAAACCAGGGAAAGACATAGCTAATATAAGAGGGGCGTGGTCAGAAATTACAATAGAATGGTATTCACAGGAGTGGACCAAGGGAAGAAGTTGATCATCAACAAAAAAGTAATCAATTCTGGAATATGTGTGATGAACTTGTGAGAAGAATGAGTACTCCCTGTGAGTAGGATGCAGGAAACGCCAGATGTCACTAATACCAAATTCAGAGAGGAAGTCACGGACGAGACTGGCTGACCTACTGACTGAGCTGGGGTTTTTTGAAGATCGGTCTAAATCAGGGTCTAACCAACAATTGAGGTCCCCTCCAAAAATAAGAGAGTATGTATTTAGGTCTGGCAGCAAAGAAAACACTTGTTTGAAAAAATCTGCGTCGTCCATGTTTGGGGCGTACACATTGACTAACGCTACCAGCGTATTATATAATTTACCTGAGACAATCACATACCGTCCATATTTATCTGAAACGACATTATGAGGTTCAAATGGAACATCATGACCAATAAGAACTGAGACGCCCCGCGCCTTAGCCTCAAAAGATGAATGAAAACATTGACCTGACCAGCGAGATAACAGACGTTTGGAATCAGAGCTACGAATATGGGTTTCTTGTAAGAAAGCTATCTTGATCCTGAGGTGTTTGAGATGAGAAAAAACCTTCCTCCTTTTAACAGGGTGATTTAAACCCTTAACATTCCAGCTCATTAAGTTGAGATGGTTAATCATACTGCATGATTAGGAAAATA